CCTAATGAAAGTGAAGTCACCTTAAAACTGGAGGAAATTAAAGCAAAATAGATAACATACGTATGTCAGAGTGAACATCTGCAATAAATAATAAGGTTTTCATTGGTAGACTAACATTGATCAGTTCATAATTTCAATAAATTTCAACACTCTCGACAACCCTATACTGATAGTTACCATGTGCTCACTAGCCGCTAGTTTTGAGAGGTAATTCTCGGGGTTCTAGTGAAAAACCGTGACCAGGTGTGTGAAGCAGTCACCCACCGAAAACAATGGGAGATGCTTACACAACATCGTGAATTGGTTGAAGTTAGAAATAAAAAGCGTTGGATCCCGGCTCAGCCGTTTAGAGGTTAGACGTTCTCATGTAAGACAACAAATCATTGGCTTGAGTCCCATGTGAGGGGTAGTGAATACACTCTGCTGAGAACAAAACGGTCGTTTAGTGCATCTAGGATTTCGATGGCGGTCTAACACTGATAGGATCATGGTTATAGTAAGTTACCGAAATAACCATACCTACTACTTTGATGCAAGATTAGAAATATTTATTCATTGTATTTGGAATTTCATTACTTCAAACTGATGTAGAAATATTGGAATATATTATGCAACAATTACAGTAATAACAGTGGTATCAATAATAATATAGTAGATTTTAGCTAGTTTAACAGACATTAGTTACAATTATGTTCGGTGGCAGTAATAACAAGAATTGTCAGTACCTCTGATTAGGTTAGTTAAAAACCAAAGCATATTGTCACGTAATCGAAAGTATATAACACATTGATGATAATATTATTACAAATCATGTTCATCACTAAACTAGAAGTTGTGTTTGAATCTATTTGATGAAATGACTATGCATTGTAAGATAGTTATATGTTAAGACGAAACTTGTTCAAACCACTTTGGTTTCTGGTGTTTCCTAAAATATCAATTGTCATAACGATAATTATGAAGACGAACTAAAGATTAAATCAAATCACTTAAATAGTATTTTCAAGAAAATATTTGAACAAATCATTATTACATAGAAGAAAGGCATAGTAAACCAGAGAATACTAAATAAATAGTTCAGTATTGTTCATTTTGGGATGGAACTACAGAACTCCATAATTTATCAATATTTATTAGTGGAAGCAGCCTAATCTATTTATCTTGAAGAGAGCAAGAACGAAGATTGGTACAGAATAATATAAATTTATTTTATTTTAGAAGGGGGTTTTATGCAGATTTTAGTGATTTAATAGTTGAATTCGGGAGTCACCACCATTGAACACCTGGGAGCACTAGACAGCCATTTCGTCCTAGTATGAGACTCCTCGCAGTCCGCATCCACGATTCCGCCGCACGGAATTCGAACGTAGGACCTGTAGGTCTGGCACGCGAACGTTTAACCTCAATCCCACTGAGCCGACATCCAACGGTTTAATGTCTAATTTCAACCAACCCACGAAATTTTATTTCGTTAGGTTCTCATCAGTTGCTTACAACATATAATATTTATAATCACCTTTATTACAGATATTGACATACTTATATATACGAAGGCGATTAAAGATGAATATGTGTATCATGGCGTAGCGAAAATTTCAATACAGTTAATAAGGTCATAATAAATTTTGTTTCGGATAAATAAATAAAGTTTGTGAGGGAAAGTTCTAGAACATCGAAATAGTGATTAGAACTCGCGGAGTTTGCAAACATTAGGTGATTATGTAGTGAAACAACTGAAAACATATTAATGGTAATAAAGATATGAATGGCAATCAGTCAGCTATGAATTGAAGAAAAAACGATAATGATGTAATTAAAATTTAGAAAGAGTTGAAATAATGAGTGATGTAATAAATAAAAAAGGTGTAATGCTACAAGGGTAAAGAAAGATTTATTACTCCCTCTTTTTGGATACATAGATCTGAATTCAGAAGTTTTGATAATAAAGAGAATTATGTGTATGAAATAGTCTATTTACATTATAAATTATAGGTATAGATTAAGCCATTGATTAGTTATAGTATGAAGTATTACCCCGTACAATGAATTCAAATTCGACTATTGACTGATAAGTAAATCATACATAACTCAGTGTACTTTTCCATAGTTTTAAATCAGTGATTGTTCCATTTTTGATGTATAAAAAAATCTTGTCTTTTTGACTGTACCAAATCATATTAGTCTTTGTTTGTGTTATGTCTGATTGAAGAATACATGAATGATAATTGTTAGGAATTATCTATGGACTATTATTACATATATTCTCATTGGGTAATTATTAAGTAACTAGATTATATATATATATTCATATTCTTGTTATCTCAAGGTTTCGTTTTGCATATTGGCCACTGTTATATGATTTACCATCCTTAAATTATTCTCCATTTATTGTTTAGTCTCCCATACTCATAGCCACTTGACAGTGTGATGCGGTTCGGTCTGCATGTATATAAACCATGTATGTCTGAAATATACTTTTCATATAATGGAGACTAATACTTATGTTCTGGACGGAACGGGCTAGGTTGGGCAAGAAGCTACTATGCAGAAGACCAATAAGGACTCAAGGCCGTTAGTGTTGTTTTGACGCATCATTGGCTTAGCACAGGTCACAGGAACTAGCGACCTTGTAGCGGGATATTTGACGAGTCATAGGACACAACAAGTAACTGGAGTAGCATTTAACCATGACCTTCATTCAATATTTAAGCTGATTTTCATATTTTAAGGTAGCTAGGATGCGTATAGGTGAACATTACTTAGTTCGATAACGAAATCAGTAATCGCTCCTTTGCTGTTACATAATCTAACAACTGATCAGTATATCTAAGCCCAAAACGATTTTAACAAACGGAGAATACTTTCTTGATTTTAACCATCAAGTACCCGAAATTCCCCAAACTCCTTCTAGAATGATATAACTTGCACAATGTCCACTGGTAATATTTAACATTCGAATGAAATCAATAAATCAAGACTACGTATTTTGGTGATAATCTGACAGGATTATTTTTTTGAAGGGCTCAATAGTCAAAAGAACTCCAAGTAAACTGATCAAAGGAAGTATTGAAAATCACCATCAAGGGCAACCGAGATCTAATAGACCTGATCCCTCAAGATTCTGAAACAGGTCAAAATTGAATAAACGAGAGACATCTCTAAAATCAATTGTGTCACTAACAGGGACTCCAACCTGAAATTCATTTAAGGAACTCGACATGATATCAAACCATTCGATAGAATCATAGGATGACTACATTAGCACTTTATGATAACGTTTAAGCAATATTAAAAAAAACCTACAAGTGAATAATGGCGCAGACGTGATCTATTTAGAAAACAAAAATCTACACTCTTTGATGGGAACAAAACGAAGAACAACAGAGGACAAAATGTTGAAACAGTAAAATTTGATAAAAATCCCGAGCGAAATCAACTCAAAGACAACCAAGTGTTGATTATTAACATTATCGAAAACATCAAGTTTGCAGTAGAAGAATAAGCAAACAAAATTCTGTTCCTGTAATAAATAAACTTTATAAACACAGGTACTTACGAAACAAAGCCAAGCAGACCAAATAATGGATTACATTAGTAACAGCCCGACAAATAGCGAAAATGGTTTTGCATAGACCCGTTTAGAATAGCTAAAATTAATTACAGCGCTCTCACAACACGAAAAATTGGAGGAACCTATTTCCCGTCCACCCAGAGTTAAAATGGTTATCCTACTAACTTTATCAAAAGTTGTCTAGCAAATTGACGCATCATCTCAAAAATTTCATCAGAAGTCAAATCATTTCGAAAAAAATTCGGAGATCACAAGGATTCAGATTGTAAACCTTTCAAAAGCCAACACAAGGCCGAAGGACATGAGGTATAAGAAAAATGCAATACCGGTTAAAAATTGCACCGACTGCACTGGACATTACAGTGGACAAAGTGGAAGCCTCTTTCATCTTCGAACTAGCAATAAAACATGTTATTCAAATCAGTGTACGCAAGCAACCACGGATACGAACTAGGTTGCGAAAACGTCAAAATTATGGAATTTCTAGAATCAATAGGGCTTATCAACATATACATTAGTTATTAATCTGTAAGACTAGCCAACCACATGGTCAGAGGTCAACCGAACACGATAATAGACATGAGTACTGAGACAAATGAAGCCAACAAAACCTATGGGGATAACTAGTTACATACCAGATAACCAGAACAAGCTGATTTAGCCTTTGTGAAACTAAAGAGGTCACTTATGTAAATTAAGCCTTAACGGTGTTATTCGGAACAGAAATGAAAGCTTCGTAATTAAAGCACTCAGCTCAGATAATATTACACACTCGGGAGACCGTCACTTCTAACTATAAATCGCAAGTAATCATTCCCACATTTTAAGTTTGTACTTTTAACATTAAGCAAAATTTATGGAGAAACCGGTATTCTGAATGCCTTTATAATTTTGTATCTACCTTCATAGTATGAAAAGTTAATGATCAACAGATATTTCAACTATAGCAGTTCAATTCAAAACAAGTATTCAGTAAATGATGTAATAAAAACATTTATCCCTAAGGGTTTGTGCTATCGAGTTGTTGATATTATGGATTAAAATTTAACCAATCTTTGTTGAAATATGAGCATCTTGACGCGCACTGCTGAGGAGTCCCATACTAGGACGAAACGGCCGTCCAGTGCTTCCAGGTTTTCCATGGTGGTCTAGCTTCAATTGATTCATGATTTCAACTATTGAAATTTCACTATAGTTTATGTGTTAGTTTCATGTTACTTATGTATGTATAGGTGAGTTATGTAATATTATTAAAAAATTCAATCCAACATGTCTATCTAAAAACATACCAACTAAGTGTTATTTTATTAAACATCAATCCTATATTGCAAAACTTCTATAAGGACTAAAGGTCTTAATATGATAGACCATTATTTCCACTTTCTTCAATATCATATAGTTTTATTATGAAGTAAGAAAAAGCCAAAAGTCATTTGATAAATATTATATTGTATTTCACTAAAACAATGAACCAATAAATCGTAACATAAAATACCAATTAGTAAGTTGTGATAATTGTGTTAGTCAAACTTTTATGAAATTACTTGTTTTCAGTTGAAATATTCCAATTTTGATCATGTAAACCATATTGTGAAGCCAAATGATCAACTAGATTTTGACTTGGTAAATTAACTAACCATAATACTAATTGTTTGCGTAGATTTAATTCTGAATCATCTGATTTACTGGATAAATAACTGATCTAGACATACAATTAATAATAAGAAGGTAAATTATACTTATTTTTAAGAATGTATCATATGAAATGTTATAAATTAAATAAAAGACTGATTTCAGTTAAATAACCAATGAAAGTCAAGAAAAACTCTTCAACTATCTTAACCTAGTATGAGTCTACTCAGTAGTGTAAATCCACGACCCTACTGATGGACTTCAGATTTTGTGGTGAGCACTTAACCTTTAAACCACTGAGCACGAATCCAATAGTTTACATGTTTAACTTCAATTAATTTGCGATATTGTGCGACCAACTACTAATATCAGCGATAGTTAAGGGGTCTATACTTGACATGGTTAAACTCCACTGATTAAGGTTTCTCACTAAAACTCCGGGAATTACTCCTAGAAACCAGTTACTAGTGACCATAGGATTACTGTGATTATATGGGGTTTATGGATAAGATTTTTTAAATTTGGTATCTGTATAATTCTTACAGATCGTTTCCTCTTCTTACCTATCAAAAACGTAATTCCGAGGGCCAAGCGGAAGGTTTACTTACCAAATTTATTTCACTGGATTATACTCTTTGAATGACATCTTCAAACCCTAATTTTTCCGATTACTGCTTATACTTTTACTACCTCTACCACTATGGGATTTGAATCGACAATTGTATCTCTGTGCTAATGTGGTATGGCAACTTGAACTGATGTAAGTACGTACGAAGTTCTACGTCGCTACTGACTGACTGACTGAATAATTACCTCGGTTCGTTTAACAAACTTTAAACAAAATGAAGTAATAATATTCTAATATCCCTAACCACGAAATGTATTTGAGAGTTTTGAGACATAAAATGTGCAAATTTGATCTTTAAAGTATCAGACAGATATTTATCAATAACATAAAATTTTCAGTGGTTTATGGGTTGTATTACTCAGGACTTATAGATGTTAATACATACTTAATACCCTTAGGCAAACAACGGAGGAACAATATAGGAACTAATACAAATGTACATCAGTTCGACTTGCCACACTTTATATTGATAAACTAAGGACATCGATGAAAAAAGTGATCTAATGGTTGGAAATCAAGTGTTCGAACCTCTAAAGTACTGTACCATTTTTACACACATCCGAACCCTTGACCAATTTTACAGGAGAACATGACGATCTCCTATGCTGATAGAAAAACGGAGATCTGACCTATGTCACAGATCGACTCGGTGTCTAAACGCTAAACGAAACCCTTGTGTTCGTGGCCACGTTACATCAACCACTAACTTATGAGAGTCGATAAGACCTGGAAGCGGGATAACGAATGTGTCCAGCTACTTTACTTTATAGTAAAACTAGCTACCGAACTAAACTAGTCCTGAAGCAAAATTTTAAATATAAGAATGAAAAAAAGATGTAGTCATGATCCGAGAACTGTCACAAGATGTTGACAAAGCTCAAACAAAAATAAGTTCAGTGATGAACCTATTTTTAAGTGCATGCAATCCATGTTGTGATGCATTCTGATATCCATTCCTTCTATCAAACAGTTTTTCCCATACTAGATTCGATTTATAGAATCAATGAGTGTTGGGTTGATACTTACAAATTTTGGGACATTGAACATTTTTCTAGCTGTAGGTACTCCCAATAAATTAGTTATGAGCTGCAAAGAGAAAATACAAAAATGAATAACAGTCTATAAATAAAAGGGCATTCAAAAGAAATAATCCCTTGGTGGTAGATTTCAGAAACTGAAATCATCTGAAGAATTACTGAGAAACCGGAAAGCGTAATACAACTAGTTCGTGTCGATTGCATAATTCCAAGTGGTGCACTTTACCTTCTCTTGAGATTGACCCCATAATCAAGACGAAAACCTGTAGAAACAAGCTATTTCGTCATGGTCCCTATAATGTTATTTACGAATACATGTAAAGGTTTGTTGGTAAAGAAGTAAATTACTTTATATTGATCCCATGTAAATATAAATTGACTTAAAATATGTAAACGGAAATTCCGTTTCTACTAACAACTAATGTTTGTCCTGCTCTGTGCACAATAATATTGATAGTCCTGGAAGATTCACCTAAAGATCCAAATAAATGCCATTTTAAACATGTTAGATAAAAAAATGAATATGTACTTTCTACACACACAGTGTAACTCCACCTGTATCTCTTCTAGGGCTACTGCCGGTTTCAAGGCCAGGTAAAAGAGGAGGGTGGGATATGGGGTCGGCAAGCATATCCTGTAAAAAAAATTTGCTGAAAAAACGCTAACCAGAATAAATTTAAACCAATTTAAACTCTGCCCTGGAAGTTGGAGGAAGAGTTATGACGCCTCAGGATGAAAGCCGAGAATCTTCTGAAGTTACGAATACAATGCTTCTCCTAACAACCAGAGCAACAATTTTTATAGGTACATGGAACGTCTAGCCAATGTGGGAGACCGGGATGACTAGTCAAATAGCAACGGAAATGAGGAGATAAAAGTTGGCATTACTCGGAATCAGTGAAACCAATTGGACCCAATCTGGACAGAAAAGGTTAGATTCGGGAGAGATGCCGCTGTACTCTGGCCACGAAGAAGGAAATTCTCCACACATTCAAGTTGTTCAGATGTTATCCAAAGAAGCAAGAAATGCACTTATAGGGTGGGAATCCCATGGATCCAGGATCATCAAAGCACCCTTCAAAAATAAAGGACGAAATTACAATGAATGTTATCAAATGTTATGCACCCACCAATGACAGAAACGACGACGATGATGATCAGTTTTACGAGAGACTGCAATCAATCATAGCGAAGTGCCGAGGAAACGACCTGACAATTCTGATGGGAGACCTAAACGTCAAAGTCAGAATGGACAATACCGGGTATGAAGGTATCATAGAACGATATGGACTGGGAGAAAGAAAAGAGAATGGGAAGAGATTTGCAAATATATGTGCAATCAACAAATTGATTATAGGCCGAACAATATTTCCACACAAACGCATACACAAAGCTACATGGGTCTCACCGGACCACACTATGAAGAACCGGATAGATCATATTTGCATCAGTAAAGAATTCACAAGGTTACTGGAAGACGTGAGAATCAGGAAAGGAGCTGACATAGCTTCAGATCCCCACCAACTGGCGGTTGCCAAGATGAAACTGAAGCTAAAGAAACACTGGACAACTAGACAAACAGCATTACAAAGGTTCAACACAGTCTTCTTTTGAGATACTGACAATTTAAGGTAACTCTCAACAACAGGTTCCAAGTCTTACAAGATCTACTGGAAGAAGAAAGAATTACTATGGAGGACAACTGAAAAGGGATCAGAGAAGCACTAGCTTCAACGTGTCACGAGGTTGTGGGCTGCAAAAAGCATAATCATCAAGAATGTATCTCTATCGAAACCCTAGACAAGATTCAAGAAAGGAGGAACAAGAAGACAGCAATTAACAACAATAGTCGAACAAGAACAAAGTCAAGTCACAAGCTGAATACACCGAAGCAAATAAATAAGTGAAGAGGAGCGATAGAGCTGACAAGCAGAAATATGTGGAAGACCTAGCTGTAAGAGCAGGAAACATGGGACAACTGTATGGCACGACGAAAACACTAACAGGGAAATATAGTAAACCAACGAGACCGGCCAAGGATAAAGAGGGCAGAACAATCACCGAAATACAAGAGCAGATGGAGAGATGGGTAGAATACCTCGAGAAACTCTTGAATAAGCCAGTCCCGTTGAATCCACCGGATATCGAAGCAGCGCCTACAGACCTTCCTATGGATGTCACTCCATCAACAATCGAAGAGATCACGATGGCCATCAGACAAACCAAGGGTGGGTAGGGAGCAAGACTATACAACACACCAACCTGAGGCACTGAAGTTGGATATATAAATAACTGCAAACATGCTGTAAATTCTACTCTGAAAGATTTGGGAGGAGGAACAAGTGCCGACGGATTGGAAAGAAGGACACCTCATCAAAAAACCAAAGAAAGGAGATCTGAGCATATACGAGAACTATGAAAGCATCACATTACTGTCAGTACAAGGAAAAGTTTTCAGCAGAGTGTTGCTGAACCAGATGAGACTCAGTAGATACCGAATTTCGAGACCAATAGGCTGGATTTCGTAAAGATCGGTCGTGCACAAACCAAATTGCGACACTACAGATCATCGTTGAACAATCAGTTGAGTGAAACTCATCACTATACGGCAAATTCATTGACTATGAAGTGTTTGACAGTGTAGATAGGAGAACATTATGGAAACTTCTTCGACACTATGGAGTACCTGAGAAGATAGTCAACATCATACGAAATTTGTACGGCGGACTACACTGCAAAGTGGTGCGTAGAGGACAGCTGACAAATGCATTACAAGTAAGGACCACAGTTAGACAATGTTGCTTACTCTCTCTCTCTCCTGGTGGTTGATTGGATTATGAAGACCTCCAAATCTGACAAGCATGGAATAAAATGGACAGGTTGGATGCAACTGGACGATTTAGACTTTGCAGATCACCTGGCCCTTCTATCACGTACACACCAACAAATGCAGATGAAGACGACCACTGTAGCAGCAGCCTTTATATCAGTAGGCCTCAACATACACAAAGGAAAAAAACAAGCTCCTCATATTTAACACAGAGAACACCAATCCAACCTCTGGAAGATGTGGAACATTTCATGTATCTGGGTAGCATCATTGGTAAACAAGGAGGATTTGACGTAGATGTAAAGGCAAGGATTAGCAAAATAAAAACAACATTCCTACAACTGAAGAACATATGGAGCTCAAAACAACTCTCAGCCAACATCAAAGTCAGAATATTCAATACGAATGTCCTGACAGTTAGTTCTATTATACGGAGCTGAAAATTGGAGAACTACTACAACCATCATCGAAGAGTACATGTATTTCTAGACAATTATCTGCAAAAGATGCTAAATGTCCGTTAGTCGGATCCCATCAGCAACAACCTACTATGGGAGAGAATAAACCAACTTCCAGTTGAAGAGGAAGTTGATAGGACATACATTGAGGAAATCACCAGACTCCATCACGAAGTAAGCGCTAACTTAGAATCCTGAAGGGAAACGGAAAAGAGAGAGGCTAAAGAACACACTGAGCCGAGAAGTGGAAGCAGACATGAAAATGATGAATAACAACCGGAAAGGATTGTCCAGGACAGAATCGGATGGAGAATGCTGGCGAGCGGCCTATGGTCCTCCATGAGTGGTAAAAGACGTAAGTAAGTAAATAAGAACACACACTGTACCGCACACGTCTTTTACAACAAATAGTTGAAATAAAGTATATACACATCAAATATGCCAAATCATTTTTTTGTAAAATGTACCTGAAGTATTAGATTACTAAATTTTTTTGACTTTTGTAGTTGTAGAAGGAGTTGCTGAGACGAGTCCGCATATTCAAGAATAGCAATCCTTCCTCTCAAAGATTCTGAAATCCTAAACGAAATTATAAAACACTTGGAAGATAATTCTCTACCGTGTAAAATTTATAAGAAAACAATTGAATAAAATTACGAATTGCACATAGACCTGTTGTGAAAACCATGATAAATGGCTTAGTTTATTTATATTATTTTCACAAACATAAATTGTACGACATTGAAATGGAAATTATGTGATTTAATCAGGTTATGAATGTATTGGTCACATTCTCACCCTCTAATAAACATCAATTAAATATCCTATAAAAAGTAAGAATGTAGTTGTGTCTAGAAGAATATTTTCGAAAACAGTGTCTATATAAAACTAACTATTCATGATCAGTTGTTGGGTACGATGAGTCTTTCAAGTAATTTCAATACTAAAACGTCTGTTGAGAGCAGCAAACATAATGCAGTCACAGTTCAGAATAATTCATTTAAGTTACTTTTTAAACATTGATTTAACAACAAAATTTAGACCGACTGGATTTAAGTGAGGTTATGTAGTCAGATAATACACCAGAGAACTTAGCAATAGCTCTCGTATGAAAATCCGAGTGAAAAAGTTACTTTCGTTGAAAATAGGACCATAAGTCTTGTTGTTATCAAAATGAAGATTCGAAATATAATGAGACAGTTATTGAAGTGTTCTGTTTAGTTCTATTTATATGTATGTGATACTTGGACAGACAAATCCATGTTAACAATATGTGTATTAGTAAAATTACCCACCAAATTGTCGTTTTAATATTTTAAGATATACCTAATACCTTCCCTATACACCCGAATTTTGACGAAAAGGTAATCTAAGAGGAAACAAAGTGGATTTGACAGCACCATTCTTAAAAAACTAGTATATCAGGGAATATACAACACTAGTTTCCAGACAGAATTACTAGTACAAACAAAATAGTAAGTAAATATTTACAAAAATTACCTGATCAATAGATTTAAACAGTAAGGTTTCAAAACTTCTTCAGCTTTAAACAACAGATTGAGCGTAGCATCACAACCTTGCAACCTTAATATATTGCGCAATCCTTTCTCCTCCTGACTTGATAATTCAGAAGTTTAGTTTTAATAACACTAACGCTATCAACAGTAGTATTTTCAATGCTTCAAGTTTATATTCATGTGTGAGTGATAAAGTCAAACAAGTGATGATTTTTTCGATAATAACTAATGGATAAGTTTCATCGAATGCTTTCAATTGATACAATAAATGAAATGCTTCCAAGAGCTTGATAGAATTGTTTTAAAGGAAAGCGAAGAGGTAGAAAAAAATATGTAGAGGTAATATTACTGACAGAATATACATAATGAGCCGAAAATATAATAAACTAATGCTTACATTCTTACGCACAGGATATGTTGAGGACTTTTCGACGAGTAGTAAACCAAGTTCATCTAGAAAAAAAACAGAGAAGTATGATCGATCTCAATTTACGTATTGTCACTTTTCCATTAATTCCCCATGATTTTGCTATACTCGTAATTTTTTTAATATTTGTACTCCTGTTTTTTTCAGTGAAGTTATTTTCGCTATCATCTGATGATACTGTCACCATTCTGAAGTGTTCAGCAGATCAAAAGAAATTACAGATATATTAAGCTAGAAGACAAAAATATAGAAATGGTAAATTTACTCTTATTGAACAAATGAGACAATTTTGCAGTGTAGTTTGAATGTATTAACATAACACTTTATTGTGCCATTTTTGTCATAAGGTGTATTTCGCAGTTAAGTTGTTGAAATAGTTTTCATCTATGAAGTTTACATCAAAATTCCAGGGGATTGAAAAGTTCCTTAATAATAAACTGAAGCAGTAAGCACCTATACCGAAACCTTTTATTACAAAAATAATGAAAAGATACCAAGTAACTTGATGTGCGCCTAAATCGCACGAAAACAAATTGTCTCGAGATAATCTGTTACTAGAACTTTGAAAACCCGAATTACATTCAAAATAGAATATTCCTTCATTTTGGATTTAAAATAGATTACTGGAAGACTCATATTTTTATAAGTGAATTTATGTATGAGGGTCATGGAAAACATCTTTCAAGAGCTCCATGACTGACATAATAGAAGTTCCCGAAGCCTCAGGTAAGGAAATGAATACTGCGTTGACTGAACTCTAGTTTATCAATATTTCTGAACGCAGAATCATTTTAAATAGATTTGGGACACCTAAATAGCAATTTTGTTTGGGTGAATAATACACTTCACATGTTTTCCAAGGGACCCAGTACTTAGTGGAGCACTATAAGCCTCCATTCTGGGTCATTTACATTCTATACTTAGTATGAACGAACTCCCCAATGATATTTTGAGGTCATAATGTCGAAACTGGGCGAGAAGTAAAAGAGGATCTCCATCCATGTGTACTCCAAACTAAGCAAAATGTTCTGATTGTCTGGTATAAATTGTGGTTAACGCCTGTCAACGTGGTCAAGTAAGTCTAAGTGCATATTGGATACGCAAACGTAAATAACTGCAGCATCAGGGAAACATATGTGTCTACAGTCCTGTCTCTCAATGACATTGGGAGAATAGTATGTCACAACTTTAAGATCATAGCTCACTACCGTCTGGTTGTAGTCAGAAAGATAAGAATTGCATGGGGATCATGATGAACATTTGTCAATTTGATAAATATTTTCTACGGTATATACAATCACCGTGGAATCCAAAATTGAGAGTCCAAACCGCAAACCCTTGTTTTAAAGGTCACCCAGACACCCTGAAGAAGTACAAAAGCCAACTGCTTGTGCGATTTCAGTGCTTCCCGTGAACAACAAGGCTTGAGAAATTAGGCTTAGATCAAGAATTGATCCAATTTTAGGAAAACTCGAAAGACACTAAAGGTGAGTTCAAAACAATACACCACTGACATATAGGTTCCCACTTAAGTAGTCAACTTTAGGGACCTACTCCTTCACGTACGGGTGTTTACAACTTCAATCTGCTAGTTTAAGAGAAAACTAGATACTCAGAAGAGCTGGATAGAAAAGAATTAACACAGGCTATCAGCCTTTTGTCCTCAATATACCAATCTGAGTCTGCAGTCAGCTGGTCAAAAATTTTCTGCGAGTTCAAAGGAATGAATATTTGAAGTGAACTTATATAAATATATACTATTTGACGTCAATTATTGCGTAGGCTAAGGTTTTAGCTTCAAGACATTTCAGAAGTCATATATGTGGAAGGTTTCACCGATTCGTTCTGGGAGGGAAAAGGAGGGACAATTTGGTAAGTTGTAGCTGTTAGGTAAATAAGTATTCAAATGTCGCAACCAACCGGCCACTTTTATCCACTTCGGAAGTGACGTAGATGGTGCCCAAGATAACTACTGTAGACTTAAATGAAATGTAGTATAGAGATTGGTTAATGAAGCAAGTAGAGCTTAGAGTGATACGAAACTATCTTAAATGCTTCTAAGTAGCTAAAAGTTCCTGGAGAATTGAAGTCGAAAAAATGGCTAGAAAAAATTGAGAGAATGCAACAGAACTTAATCCTTTCATACTATTTGGGACCAACTTAAGTATGTTTGTCACAGCGAAATTATTTGATAGATCGCAAATTTCAAAGTTGCACTGCCCTTGAACAACTCCTTGATGTGACCAATCAGTTTCGAGGTAGAAGTGTGTCGCATATTCAATAAACAAGTACAGGTTAAATTGGTAGTATTATGGAGATTGTGTTTGGTACCTTGTTTTTTAGCTTCTTCACAGGTGAAAAAAGTTGGCTGATAGGTCTCATCAGTTGATAAGCAATCGTTTTCGGCTGAAACATCGCATCAACAACAGGCGCTAGGATTTCAAACTGTTGAATGTGTCAGCTTTACAGGACTATCTGCAACAAGTGGATTGGGATTTTCACCCTCAACTTGGTGCGGATGCTCATTGTGATTTTTTACTGCGAACGCGCTTATGTGCTACAAATTAGTCTGTTCCTTAAATGGTCCCCGAAATCTACAAGCAACCTACAGTCATTACGAGCCGCATTCTTAGTTTGTTAGGCCGCAAAAAAATTGTTGGGCGGAATAAAAACGAACTGACAACAATAACGCGCGCATGCAACACAAACATATAAGGAACATATGCACAAAAGCAATAAGAAAAGACAGGTTTCAGTACCAGATAAAGCATATCACGCCAATTTTCAAAGGTGGTCGAACCTTCAAGGTACCGACAGGTCGCCGTTCTCTACATACCTCCAAAAACTATGGAGTCCCTCATATACGATGGTATACACGACTATTTATCGTCCATAAACTTCTTTTCACCCCAACAGCGTGGTTTCAGGTGAGGTCATTCTTGTATAACCGACATGCTGACTGTAGTGTACAGATGGACAACCATCTTTGATCGCAAGGGGAAGGTTGACGTCATTTACCTTGACTTCTTAAAAACTTTTGATAGGGTCAACCATACATGTCTTATCGATAAGCTCAAATGATTAGGCATCAAATCACCTCTAGCTGTTTGGCTCACTTCATATCTAAAAAGTCGACATTTTAAGGTCAGGGTAAACTTCACTTTCAGGCTATGGAATATTCTAGTGAAGTTCCCTGGGGTTCAGCACTTGGACCTCATCTTTTCTTGATTTATATAAACCATCTCACACAACAAGTATCGTCTGACTTACTACTTTTCGCTGATGATATGAATCTTTGGAGAGAGAGATATACAACCGAGAGGGTAAACATGCACTTCAGGAGGGTCTGACTCGGCTTCATGATCGGGCAGATGATGACGGACTTACTTTAACACGTCAAAGTGTAAAGTATTCCATCTGAGACATGTTGTAGACTACAGCTACAACTTAGGCAATTGCCCTTCTAGAAGTACCCCAAGTTGAAAGAGATTTAGAAGTGCTGGTACCCTACGATTCGAAGTCTTACACTGTGATAAAAATGCCTTTCGAGCAAATCTTGCACTGACAACACTGAAGCGCATTTTTGGTCAGTTTGATGGAAGAACGTTCCATATAATCTTTGACAGTATCATTTACCCCCATTTAGAGTACGGAAACATGGTATTTCTTCCCCAACTCCGAAGGGATAAGGACACTCTGGAACGTCATCAACGGTGAACCACGAAATCAGTTCGAGGACTTTCTAATGGCTTACGGTATCCTTAACACTTCTGGACATCCACTCAAACACCTACATAAGTCTCGCTCCAACGCAAAACTAAGAGGCAACGCTCAAAATTAGAGATACAACATAGTAGAACGGACTGCAGGCACAACTTCTACTTCTCAAGAGTTGAAAAATGCTGGAATTCACTGCCGGCTGAGCTAATCTAAGCGACTTCCCAGGAGTCCTTTAAGAGGCAACCTAACGTATTCTTAAGGACCAAGGATAGTATCTTACTATGATTTACCAATTTCTTTTTTTTCTTTTATCGTTAATATATCTAGGTTCTTGCCTAAGGGTATTGATAATCTCTTGGTGATAAACACGGAAGACTGTTAAGCGAAAGCTTCTTCTATTCCGTCCACAACCATTTGAACCATTTTGAACTATTTGAAAATACTCGTGACAAGACAGTCTAAGCTAATTTATTACTTTGGGCTTGGTTTTTGATTTAAAAGGACGCTTCCAGATCACTGGTATTGCTCAGTTAGGCAATTTTAACCAGCTGGCTTTGATTTCCTCCTCTAGTTTAACACTTGTCCTAGGTTTTAATGTAATATGAAGTCGGGTAGACACCCTAGTCCCAGAGCAACGGGTTTGTTGGAAACAGGAGCATCCACATCATCACAATGTCATTTGACTGATTGCCTACGAGACCATGAAATTATACCGAGAAGAGCGGATAGAAGAAAAAAAAGAGAAACCAAAGCAATCGGTCAAAAAGCATATATAAATAAACAAAGGGATGGAAGTAATTCTAAGTAACGTGGAACAAAATATGATAGCGATAAGGAAATGGAAGAAAGTCGAAGCTTACCAAATTCTATGCTCGTCGCTACCTTAAGAATCCAAGGAAAAAGCGGCTATTGTTTTCTTAATCTGGAACGCCCTTCTGTATGAATCATGACATGGATTCCTGTAACCTGTTGTTCGAGAATGTATACTTTCAGATAAGGCTAATAGGGGATGCACTTAGGTCTTTTATTATTAACCTAATAAAGTGGATGATAAACTACAGTTGATGAGGTTCATAATAGAGCAATAAACGTCTCTCGTTACGCTTCCGGATGCTTAACCTTCGTCATGAGTAATACTGAGGAAAAAAGGAGAATAAGTTTGTAGTGTTTACAGTCCTCTTCATCTTAAAATGTCACTCTCACTGTTTCGCATCAGATAATATCTAACACGGAGTTACTCGTAGGTTAAAAATTGAAGGAAGTGTATATAGGTACACGTGAACGCCTTCCAAGTTGATATGTGTAAGCTGTAGAATTTATTTCTTAGTTGCACCGATAGACCTCCAATAGATAGTACGAAATGACGGTCGATATTCCGTTTAATAGTGTTCATATTAACAAAAAATGGAACAGGCTCACTTAAGACGGAAATGTGAAGTGTTGTACTAAATAGAATTATTTTAAGCTCTCTATTATTCTTGCTTTACACCAACGAGTTTTCAAAACTATTTTTATAATCAACTTTCTTATTTGGAAAAAGTACGAACGTTTTAGAGTAATACGTAGTGACAGTGAAGGAATTGAAGTTCAAAATGGTTTAGAAAACTTGGTTAGGTGATCCAAACTCTGGTCTTTATTAGGTCGACACCATCATAGGTTTAATAACACGGATTGGATATGACAATAACCACCAGTACATCGTTAATGAGACACCATAGTAACAAGTTTTAGAATAAAACGATTGAATGGTCTAGAAATTATTAGAACTCCGTAAGGAATTCAAAACAGTGGATAAATAGTTGGTGAACAGCGATCTACAACTTGACTTATGCTTATACCTTCTCCTGACTGAAGTAGTCATACCTGATGCGTATCTTGAAATGTATTTGCTATAATTATCGCCATATGCCACCGGCCTAATTCTACTTAACTTGCTTCTTGTAATCCCCATTATTCTTACGCTTTTATTCATTCATATTTTCCAAGTAATTAATTCATTTGCTTCACGCAACCTTTATCTTCTCTTTGTTCTCCTGAATTCGAATTCTGTACATCTATCGGATATTGTACTATATATTTTTATTTTATGTTTCTCCTAGGGCAATTACAGGCTACATTTACAGGCACGATCTGTAAGTTACATTGGTTTACCCACTGCATGCTTCTCGGGTAGGGTTGTTAAATGACCGGAATCAAGTCACATAAAAGACAGCACACTCATGAAGATGTCCCACGGAGTTGATAATTAGGCTTATGTTTTAGAATTGCAATGAGTGCAGCTCCGAGACAGGTATCCCAAGACCACCTTTGGAATGTGTACCTAATGCTGGTAGTTGCCCCACGTTTTCTACATTGGGAATTGAAATACTAGTGGTTGTAATACGTTTTACCCAGATCTTCGGAAAGAACAGTTAGAGCTTGAGGCTATAATTTAAAAAACACAAAGCTCTGACATTCTATGTAAAATAATGAGAAGTCTAATTTTAACACAAAATAAGGAAGCAAATGAATACTTATATAAAGTTTTGACTAAATCTTGATCAACAAGTATGTAGTGAAAATTGAAGACCGTACATTAAACGAGGCACATAATTCTCGCTACAGGCCAACCGGAGAGCATGGCTCATGAGAAAAAACTCCCTAAAGAATTCTGATCGTAGTTTTTACTTGTCACTGAATAATGGATGCAACTCCAAAATCTGTAGCGATTAATGTTTTTGATGAGAAGCTAGCATTCAATCAACTCAAAGTATGGCAAAGCTGGACGGCGTGCTGGAACCATATGATACTGTTTTATGTAATATTCTCTGATTTCCGAAGGCTTGTGGCACAATACCTCATGTACATCTCGTGGTGTAGGTTGGAAAGATGGCTTTCTTGGCTTCTAAACTACTTAGTAAACAGGATGCTTCGTACCAAGGTAAGTAAATCACATAAAAGTCGGGGTCTCAACATCAGGAGTTTCACAAGGAACAATCATAGATCCACTCATGTTCTTGGTCTTCGTTAGAGATCTGTTAGATAAGATCAACTCAGCGGCACTAATCTATGCAGATGACGCAAAGATTTAAAGGCTCATTAAGAGTGGAAATGATTGATTTGAGCTTCAAAATGACCATATGACAGGGCCTTAACAACAGAATAAAATGATCGGGTCTTTTCATATTTATGCTTTATGTACATGACTTACCAGCAGCAACAAATCAACCTGTTCTACACTCTCCCGATGACATCAAGATTTGGGGACTCTTATACTAATTTGCAGCTACGATAATACTGCAAGACAACCTAAGTCCATTGGTTGAATGAATGAATAGGTGGTCATTCGAAGTCCATTCTAGCATGTGTGGGGTGATTTAGATAAATAACTGTGACGATTCATATCACTAAAATCTGAAATTTTGTTGCTTCAAGCAATTGATTATAGAGTTCTGGGAGTCGTAATAGGCAGAGACCTTGAAACTACAAATATCTGCAGGACTGCCGAGGCTTGAGGGTCTTACGAGCTACTTATAAGTCATTTCGTCACTTGGATGAATGGTTTTACACCCGATGAATTTGAGACCCTATTAGGAATATTGAAATCAGGCAGCGGGTTCCTGTTCCAAACATGAGGCGAATATGCTAAAAAGAGTTTAGAGGAGATGAAAAAAAGTGGTGAAATTTCTCAGTGACCTATCTTATCAGAACAGACTAAGACTTCCCGAACTATTTTTGTTAACTTACTGCAAGTTATAGAGTGATTTAATACTGAATTACCGTACAATAAACGATGATTCTAGTACTAATATTTCTGGTCTTAACACTAACCTAAGGGTTAACACCCAGAAATTAGAGATACAACATAGTAGAACGGACTGCAGGCACAACTTCTACTTCTCAAGAGTTGAAAAATGCTGGAATTCACTGCCGGCTGAGCTAATCTAAGCGACTTCCCAGGAGTCCTTTAAGAGGCAACCTAACGTATTCTTAAGGACCAAGGATAGTATCTTACTATGATTTACCAATTTCTTTTTTTTCTTTTATCGTTAATATATCTAGGTTCTTGCCTAAGGGTATTGATAATCTCTTGGTGATAAACACGGAAGACTGTTAAGCGAAAGCTTCTTCTATTCCGTCCACAACCATTTGAACCGTTTGAAGGTCGTCTTGATAGCGCTTCGCATGAAGTGTTTCGAAACATTTTGTAATGGTTATTTGGTGAATACGTGGTTGTCATGAGACCAAGGGTACTATCGGTCGGTGTGAGCACAGAAGCCTGTATAGCTGTTGATTAGTAAAATGCTTTTGATCCGGTATTTTAATTTTTTTCACGTTTTAGCGGTTGGAAAGGACTTATTGCCCTTGGCAGTTTCACCAACATACTTATAGTTGACCCTTGTTTCAGTAAAGTAACAGAATTTAATGATTTTCCTAACCTAATTCCAGTCTTTGCAGTCGCTACAGGGCCACCGCGCTAACATAGTAAATGTTTTGTGGGCTCCTGAAAATTACTATCATGATGATAAAAACCCTTTTCAATTAAAACTTGCCAGTGTTGACGCGTCTGGAGTAATAATTATTTGGGATGCTACCACATCCTCCGCGACCTCAGAGTTTCGTGAGCCAGATTCACTCGTCTTGGGTTAGTTTTCCCATTCTGCTTACTAGTTTAGATATATTATGGCTACCAAATCAGTGGGTTTCACGTGATTTGTTGGCTGTTCTCCACTCTCATGGTAGATTCATTATTTGGAACACACAAACCCAAACAAGATTGTGGAAGTTCTCTTTTGAAGACGATGTGGTTTCATTTTCTCTGGATACATTCTCCAATTCAAAGATTATTTGTAACTGATTTTCCACTTACTTATTAGGATTCTTAAGTTTTCTCAAAGGAATATTTCACTGTGGAAAATTTCTACGTCACTTCGTGTGTCTTTGGAAAAGGCAGGAAACTAAACATCTCCGAGGCTGGTTTGTTAACACTATATATTAAAACTTATAGTTGAAGGTAGTAACAAGTGTTTTGTTAATGAAATAAACTCACGTGGAACAACATCAGGAGAAACGCCAGTAAAATTATCGTTCAGTGAACTAAACGTCAGCCCGGGGAACTCTGAAAGGTATTTAACAAATTATTTTGGTTTAAAATTAAGTTTTAAATGGACGACTGCGTAATATCATCATCTGTCATATAATGAGTATTGGTCATAAATGAGCTCATGGATGTGTGCTTGGTCATAAGATTGCGATAAATGGCATTGGAAGCCATCATATACTATTTTGAGGAAAGCTTTCGTAAAACTACCCTGAAAAGTGTTCTGTGCCTTATTGTAGGGGCTGATACTATGTCAAGCCCACGTAGGTTGTTCTAGCCTCTGGATAGATCAATCTATTTATTCTTCTTAAACCACATTTTAACCTTGTCACTTATTCGCTTATTAATCCTGACTTTTTTACATGAGCGTATGTGTTTATACCTCTTATCCTACTCATCACATGTCTGTAAATTATTTGTGTTTGACTATAAACATCGATTGATGCTTGACTAACTTGAGTTAACTCACGCGCCTTCTCCACCGCGCATCATTTTTGTTTGGTTTTGTTCATTTGATCGTCTGTCTGGGTGAATGATTGTATTAAATATACACATACAAAATCCATTCTCGTATTTGACTTATTTAATCCCGTTATTCACAAACGCAATTTAAGTCGATTATTATATACCAGGATTGACGATGTGTATAAGTCGATAACAAACAGCAAACGATCTAAATGGAGTCAGATCCGGGGCCACCTAAAACACTACCTTTTAATACAGTCTTATTTGGTCTTAACACGCTTTATCATTATCTCAAGGTTTAAAGTGTTCCTTTATTAGTCAAGCACTACAATATGCCTGACCTGCAAAACTTTAGGTATGAGTGTGTTAGGGTTTGAAGATAGAGAGAGAGAGCTATCACGGGTTCACGTAGTTTGAGAACGAGATCGAGGATTCGGTGACCAAGGTCCAGTAAGCTAACTATTGACGCGTCCCAGCCCCACTATCTAGAGTGAGAAGACCAAGCTTAGAATGAAAGTATATTCTGTAACAACCAGAAAACCAGCAAACCTTTTACAAGACAATTTTAAACGTATATATACAAATATCTATACATCGATATTGCCATGGAGCTTTTAAACATCTAATCGATAGTTCGTCAATTGACTGCCATTGAATTATTTAAACATTTGATCGATAAATTCATCAATCGACTATATGCATGGGTGGTAAGAAATGCCCACGTATACATCTACATACAAGCTCCACAAGATAAAATTGCAAACTATGAGTTTTTAGGGATCTACCGTCCTCAACAGAGTGGCAAGGCAATTTGTGAAGCTGGTGGTCTGAAAGTGATTAAGAGTAGTCATATGATAAGCTAACATCTACCCAAAAGTCATTGACTACTTATGGGAGTCTTGTTGAAAAGGTCATGTATTTTGGTTGGTGTTCACGATATAATTGTCAACTACGGTTGAAGACCTTAAATGACGGCTCAAAATCTCACGTCTGGGTAAGTGGCTTCGTTCTTCGACTTATTTTGTCCTAGCCAACAGTACTATCCCAAGATTTATAGCCTCTGGTTTCCCTTATTTGGCTTTTGCTCGTATTTGGTTTTCGGCTGCTTTCTGTATCGTTATTTTAATTCTTACCCTTGTTCCTATTTACTCACTGTCCTCGTAAGGTTATAAGTTACAGCAACTGCAGTTGGTGGATATCTATCACATACCTCACGTTGTTAGTCTAGCATTTATTTTAATAAATAAGAAATGGACAATATAATTGTTTCGACTATTGATATAGTTAATTGCTTAGTATGAAGAATTATTTTTCATCATGTAACATAAGCAAGTGAGGTTAGCATTCCCTAGTCCACATTTGATGTTTCAGCAGAATGGCTTTGAAGTTGCTGGGTCAATAAATAATGCTTGGTTGTTAACAAGACAAGTAATGACTTAATTGTTTGAACTGCGAATAAAAAAATTATTTCTTTCCGATTGTCTGTGATGTGTAATCACATCTTAATAAGGAATGCTGAATTTTATGATATTGTGTGTTCACGCGGTAAGTTAATGAATGGTTAATGTTAAATACTACTCATTTCAAATGATTACTAATCTGACTAAATAAATCACACTAAAAGTAGTGTATTCACATGTCATTTTGATTAATTTTGAGAGCTACATAAATCCTTGTCATCACTCTGTTTTTTCTCTGTGTCGTCAGATACGGGGTTTCAGTACCAAGTACAAGTCATTTAAACACTTTGCAAACATAACAGTAAACTATTTCTACTGATATTTTTATTCTATGTACACTTTAATTAAGTCATTTACTAGGTACAGATTCATACACCTGGCTTCAAGCCATTCCGAATGTGAGTACTGGTGATACTTCGTGATTCCCGAAACAGAATTGAGTAGTGCCAGATTCAAACTTGAGACGTATTGGGTGAAAGTTGAATGTATTAATCACTGAATCACTGTTTCATCAAACAAAACACGAGAATAATTTAAAACTTCGAAGTTCATCCTTCTGTCTGAACTTAGTACCGGGTCGGACAGTTTAATTTCATAATATCAGCTTCTCATTTGTCTTTAGGTTTTACATAATGATTTCTGCGGTATCCATAAGTAAGTTGTTATTAGTAGCAGAAACAATTCCATTGTCAATTTCTTAAGCGGAAGTTACTATCGAAAGCCAACTTACCTTCGCTCTTTAGTGTTAATTACATAATAGAAGAAAGTATATCACGTTCTTAGTTATGCACATCTGTCAAATACTGTTCCATTTTTTTCATTTTACTTGTAGAAATATCATACGTGAACATTCAAATATTAAACAAAATTTACTGTGTTTGTTTTGATTCAAAGCTCTTACTATTTCAATTTTTATTCAGGGCATATGATTCTTCGAGTGATAGTGCAAGAATAACATCTATTAGAACATGTTTGCAGGTTACTTACCATCGATATCACAAGGACTGTGCGTTGTTTGTTTTTAGGAGGGAGATTATTGTCGTGAATCTGGGATTGGTCCGTCCACTTCATGTCGTTTATTTAGATCCTTCTTGGCCTTCTTTCTCACGTGTAAGTCAATTTGATTTATGAGTATTGACGATCTTAAAAGTGATCTTTTAGTTTCGTAGTTTTGAGGCAGATCATTTCTAGGCGTTCATAAACTTAGGTTTCCTCTATATCTTAGCATAACACCACGATTAACAGTAGTTATATTTTACGGAATGTCGAACATCTATTATAGTCCCATCCTTCTCAAATACATGAAAGCTTATCCACAGAACTCATTTTTAGTATTTAATATTCGAGAAAAGTATAAATTACTGAGTATTTCTTTTGTTCATCGCAGAAGGGGTAATATTGATCTCTGAAAGAATCTGGGGTGGCTTTGAATAATCCATTTTCTAAAGAAAACAGAGCGCCAATACATTATTTTATTTGCTGTTCATCATGCTTATCACTACAGAGGCAGATATTTAATACATAAAAATTTATGAATGTATATTTGCCATATTTCTCGTAATTTGTAATTTTCGTTATCTGTAAATGTTGCAGTCTGGATGCATAAGAACGAAATTTCGTTTTTTGAGAGGCTTTGACGTGAAAAGCGTAGCTAGAGACTGTTAGAATAAGGAATATGTGTAGTTATATTTGTAAGCATATTTCTGATTTACAGGTTTATTCTTGCACTCAACGTGATGTCATCATTTGCCTACATGAAAATGGCAATTTAAGCGTATATGCTTGTCGTGGTCTTGCTTTAGCAGCGGATCCTTCTCTTCATCCTTCTCATCTACTGCGAAAACCTAGTAAAGAATCTTCTGATCTTCATGCTGACAACAGCTGCACTTATGTTCTTGTTGCGACTGCTGCTTCTTCGAGACGCCCAAAACAAGTACATCATGTTGATTTTTCTGTGGACCAAATGAATGAGCTGAATATCGTCGTAGCTTCGATTGATGGGCGTTTCCAGGTAGCTCTTAGTAACATTTTTCAAATGTTCATTTCACTTTTATTAGTATTTACTCTGTGGTTTGACTTGTTGCAACACAATGATTCCTATTCAGGTCCTGTAAATCTAAAACCAAATCAATTTACGAGGTAGTTTCAGTTTCTTTTAACTCATCAGATAATTACTGCATGTCTTGCAACTGATCTACTTATCGATTTTGCCAGTAATTATAAGATGGTTCATGGTCATGCAATCGTGGTACTTTAGTCAGGATGACTGAAACTGTTTCCAACATTCTCATTCCTTTATTGTTTTAACTGTTTAGTTAATTCGTATTAAGAGCGGTAGCTTAGCAGTCAAAACATTTAGCTTTTAACTTTTAGGTCTCAGATGAGAACTCCGCTCCATCTAATTCGGTTTAGACAGACGCGTATTACTGCTAACACCCAAGTAAACAGATACTTAAATCAGATACTCAAGTTTGTGCTTAGGGAGTGAGTTACGTGAATATAATCCATATTAAACTGGAAGTATTAATGCTTAGATTAATATACGATTTTATGTGGAAATCACTTTAGGTGTTTATAAAGTGTAAAAGGATTGTGTTTACATCTTTAGACAATTATAATTATTTTTTTGAATTACTTTAAGTTTATAACTTTTCAAGTTCAGTTCACTATCATATTGGAGCTAAGAGACTGAATTCATGTTATTTTTTTATTGTAATAATGATTAAGCACATATTTTAACTTATAGTCTTTGGAAAACTGTAGGTTCTAATATTTATGTAAATAAGACTAGGTCTTGGTTAAAATTATGTATGTAATATTATGCAGTATACACTAAACTATTATGTAACATCCACCACCAATATATAATGAGGTCGTGAGTGTGTAGTTGTCATAGTGGTTTTGTCTCAATATCCCCTGTTAGTTCATGTGTGGATATATATCTAATCATCTATTGGTTTTCAAAGTTTTGGCAACTACGAGCTGTTCGAGACTCAACTTTCTGTGATGAAGAGGTGAAACCAATTTGGAGCCTTTCGGATCTGCTACCACATGCACCTGTTGTAGATAAGTGAGTAATACCTTAAATTATTTTATTTACACATCGATTATTACTTCTGTTTTAGTCACCTAATGTCTAATATTAGAATATGTACTGACCGCTGTAGGATAAGCAGACAGCACTATGTTCTGGGATTATTTGTTAGAGCAGAGTATATCTGGGTTTATTAAGATCCTGAAAGATAAATAAAAAATCACCACAGGTAGGATAAGGTCACAAAACCACTTCTCAGCGGTCTAATTCCGCCTCTTTTCTTCATTTCCACCATTGATGAAACTTATTGGGTTTACCGAAGCTCACGAAGTGCAGTATGTAGTTCAAAATTGATTTAATATAATTGGGTCGATAACCGGATTTAAAACTAATATGTGCAGCCCAGATGTAAACAATCTATCCATTAAATTCATCTTTGTATTGTTTGTTTGAATAATCTCATTGATGTTTAGGACTGCAATTGATTGGCATATGTGCATCCTGTGCGGATTGCCTAGAAATTGTCTCGAGTCACAAGCATTATAAGCAAAGATGGATGGTGGCTAGCAGTGGAATCCAGAATGGGCGTTTCGTCCTGTTGCAGACTCGTCGGCTGGATATACCTACATCCCAGAGTTGATGTTCCCTCCCAGTTATTTGGACTCGGTAGCTAAGTGAATAACATGATGGCATTTGAAGCGAACGGTACTGGGTTCGATTTCCGGAGTAAACTTCAACTTTGGGATGCAGGTACGTTCATATGACGAGCCAAAAATAGGACGAAACACGCATCCCGGATCCCACTGCTAGCCACCATCCATATTTGTCTATAAGATTTATCCATTGTTTGGAGTATTAAGACCTGAAATAACTAAACTGGTTGCTCAACTTGGATACTGAAAATTCCATCGTAAACCTAACGTGAAGTGTTAAATTTCAGCGCCTTATGCAATCTCAGAATGGGTTCAGAAAGTTAGGTTGGGTTTTGCCGAGTCGCATCACTTGTAATGCAGGCGCTGTGTCCGTCTGCGGAGTAAAGGACAAGTGTGTTACACAGAGGTTCGCTATGGTTTACCTTTTGGCTATGTTTATTTATTTATTTGAACACAAACATTGGTACAAAGGGGGCACCACACAGTAACTATGATGTCGTGAAGAGATAGAAAATGTAAAGTGACTATAATAAAAGAACAACGAACAGAAATTAGTGTAGCAAAGTGAAGTTTTAATAATAACAATCGGAGAAGCAGTTCATTTAAAGAGGATACAACCAGAAAGAATTCTTTCATGTAAAGAAATTACTCTCACTTATATGAAAAAAGTAAAAGGAAGTTACAGCAGGATCGCCACTGGTTTATATTCCGAGCCATGTCTGATGGCGTCTCTAGCCCACCGCGTTGCACCATCTCTAGGACCCCAACCAGGGAGACATAAGGGACCAACAGAATCCAGTTCTGTACAGCTTTCTTTCATACCAAGACACTATTTTGTACACTGATCACCTCTCCGCTTTTTCCAACAAATTCCAGAGTCGGTAAATAATGCAGGACGATGGATTCTCTGGGACGACATTTGTAGAACATATCCAAGCCACCGAAGTCGCTGTTTCAAGATGGTGACACCAATTGCATTATCGTCTCTGCTCCCGAAATCACGATGCCGAACATCTGCATTACTAACATGGTGTTGCCACTGAATGTCAGCAGTCCTTCAGAGACAACGATGATCGAACACAGAGAGTCGTCTAACATCCTCAACTCGAAGAGGTCAGGTTTCACAAGCATAGAGCAAAACTGCTCTTACCGACGCTTTGTAGATCCGAATTTTTACAGCCAGACTAACACCACGAAGGCACTAAAGATGGCTCAGATTGGTATAATCCATTCTAGCTTTCACTATACGTGAATTGGTATCATCACTCACACCACAACCAACACTTACGCAGTTACCCAGATGTACGAACTTCTCGACTACTTTTATCTGTTCACTACCCAGGGTGAATACAGGATTAGGGTCCTGCCAATCTTGTAGAAGTACTTTACACTTCGAAGATGCAAAGCACCTGCCTTGTCTACAGACACTGATTGCCAACTGACTAAGTGCGGATTGGATAGCTTGGATATCATCTCACAGTAATACAATATCATTCTCATACTCAAGGTCGAAAAGTTTTTCTCCAGGCAACAGATCCACACCACCATTACCTACATCTATTGGAGTTGCTTTCAGAATGTCATCGATGGTAAAGTTCAAGAGGAATGGTGAGACTTGGCAACTCTGCCTAACCCTATTGCTTGAATGGAACAGTGGAGAGAGGTGGCTGTATGCCCTCACTCTGCCTGAGGTGTTTGTATATGGGGCTTTCAAGATGTTAATAAACTTCTCAGGCATGCCCTTCCTTAATAGAGAATCCCAGAGAACAGTCCTGTCCAACGAATCGAAGGCAGCCCTAATGTCAAGAAACATGACGATTGCTGGCTTGTGATAAGTATGACGATGTTCTAACACTTGGCGGAGGGTGAAGATATGATCAGTACCTCCTCAACTAGCCTGCTTCTCGCGAGTCAATCCTTCTCGGGTTTTGAACAATCTACGAAGTATGATGGAAGCCAAAAATAATAAGTAGTTTTGTTTGATATATGACGCGAACCCTTTTTAAAGATAGCAACAACTAACGACTCATTCCATGATGTTGGAACATTTTCTAATTGCCAGACCTTTATAAACAGCTCAGTCAGTTCCATAACAAGAAAGTCGTCACCATCTTTCAAGAGATTCGGATGTAAGTCATGTGGGGCTGGTGATTTGTAGTACTCCAAGACTTAGAGTCTCTTGTGGACTTTCGCCTCGTTAGATGGATCAATCGTCATCAGCCATAGAGGACAGCACAGTCTGATCGATGTCTCCAGGGCAGCAGACCAATGAATTGCTTTTCGAAACTTTGCTCATCGTCCAAGAAGTCGACAGATGTTATTGTTTACCATCTCATCAGCTTCACAGATTGTTTCACTCACGCCAGAATTCTTGTTAATGTCATGGATGAGTTGTAAGGTCTTCCGGCAGTTACCGGAAGCGACTAATGTTTCCAACTCGTCAGTACGTTTCGACCATCGGGGTTCTCGGTCCTTACGCAAGCTTCGCCCAGTTTCATTGCGTAACAATCTTTGTTAGTGGTTAAACTCGCGGTCACCCGAAGTAAACTGACGGGTTTCAACGAATTGCAAGGAGCCTGAAAAAAGTCATTGCTTATAAGCGGGACGTTTCGCGAAGCCGACTTTACTCGCCATTTTCATGGCGTCATGCAATCGCAACCAATGCCCATCTATACTTTTCGGTTGGATGGTAGCTAGCCTAGAACCTAACTCGGTTTGATATTCAGTTGCAACAGAAGCTGCAACCAATTCGCTGACATCGATCCTTTCAGGCCGATGAATTCGTTGGCCACTGAAACGTAAAGTAAGATTAGCGCAAACAAGGGCATGATCAGAGTCCAGGTAGGTACTCCGAAAGGAGCGGCAGTATTGTACACAACAACGCGATGTGATCACGCCGAGTTCAGGCTTGAGATTTAGAGAGAGGGAGCCAGGCAGCACATCGGTGATAACTATTCCGGTAGTCAGTGCTAGCCAAAAGCAGGTTGTAGTTTGCGCACAGTTGCAGTAGATGGTCACCTTTATCTGACCTGCGACCCACAAGTCCCCATCGGCCACTTGAACGACTCTCTTCTGTGCCTATACGCCCGACCTGAGCGTTCAAGTTTCCGGCTAGTACCATAATATCTGTTGAACGCACTTTCCGTAGGACAATTAATTGATGGTAAAACCCATCCTTAATCGCATCCGGGCTGCAGTCTAATGGAGCGTAAACAGAGATGACGAGAAGACATAGTTTCTCACGCCGATTCCTTCTCTTTTTTGTTGGAAACTTCTAGTTTAACAGCAAATAATCGGCTGTTAATGGGGATCCATCCGGTCAGTGCTGCCCCAGATCTAGCGCTACGCGCGACACCATTGCCAGCAAAGCCGGACGAAGATGCCACAGGGTCCTCAGATAAACTCACATGAAAGGAGCTTTTCAAAGTAACATATAGCGAGCACTTACTTACTTACGCCTGTTGCTCCTCGTGGAAGAGCATAGGCCGCTCACCAGCATTCTCCATCCAACCCTGTCCTGGGCAATCCTTTCAAGCTCTTTTCAGTTCTTATTCATCTTTTTCATATCTGCTTCTATTTCCCGACGTAATGTGTTCTTTGGCCTTCCTCTTTTCCGCTTCCCTTCAGGATTCCAAGTTAGCGCTTGTCTCGTAATGCAGTTTGATGATTTCCTCAATGTATGTCCTATCCATTTCCATCGTCTTTTCCTAATTTCCTCTTCAGCTGGAAGCTGGTTGGTTCTCTCCCACAAAAGGCTGTTGCTGATGGTATCCGGCCAATGGATGTTGAGTATCATGCGTAGACAGCTATTAATAAATACCTGTACCTTCTTGATGGTGGTTGTTGTAGTTCTCCAAGTTTCAGCTCCGTACAGTAGAACTGCCTTGACGTTCGTATTGAAGATTCTGACTTTGATATTGGTTGAAAGTTGTTTTGAGTTCCATATGTTCTTCAGTTGAAGGAATGCCGCTCTAGCTTTGCCAATCCTCGCCTTGACGTCTGCATCTGAACCTCCTTGTTTATCGACGATGCTTCCCAGGTATGTGAAGGATTCCACGTCTTCCAGAGTTTCGCCATCAAGAGTGATATATAGCGAGCAGATTTGTAGTATTTCCCTCTGCATCCACCAACCCGGTTAAAACGTCGGACGTTCTTTTTTTGTCCTCTCAACAACAACACCCCCATTGCGAGAAGCTGATGAGTAGAACTTCTTTCACAGTAGCTGTATACGAGTGGCCATGTGAGAGTATTTCAAAAGGGAGAATAGACTCTCCACCCTCAACCATACCAAGGCATTTGGGGGCTATGAAAGTAGTCTTAGAAATAGAGGGTATTTGTAGATTACTAGTATTCGATCATAAATGGCTTCAAACCATTGCTCTTGTATTTTGGTGATTCTGAGGTTAGACACAGTACTGTGTGAGGATCGCAGGTCAGTTGATGAGAGAGAATCCTGGCCATGTGAGGTGTTTAGGACATGTATTGCGCATGCCCATTAACTGGCTGCCTGGATGCGTGATGATGGCTGGTGTAAGGATAAGATAGAAGTAGGCTTAGGGGTGTCCCAACCAAAAGGTTCCATCAGTTCATAAAGTCATTAACAATTGAACTGAGTCATGTAGGTAAGTGCAAACTACCTGGCTGGGGTCCGCACGATTACCGTAACCAGTGGTTGGAGTCGTTGGTTGACATGGCTCAGAATCATTCTCAATGGCTCAAGTTTATTCGCTTTCCTTCTCCCCTTATATTCAAAGTCCCGAAATCTTTTTATACTTATTCTTTCAAAAAATTTTTATTATACTATTGACAATTTTACTACTTTTATTATTTTAACGTTTGCTTTGACAAATTTATCTCACTGTACTAATGTAGTGTGGCAAGTTGAACAGATACACGTATGTGTTGAGTGGTACGTTACAGATGACTGACTATATGACTGAAGCCATCAATTTACGATTATTCGCTAAGAAATTCTAGTCTTGGTACTAATCTTTTGATATCTACCTTAAAATGATAAACACTTATACTATACAATCATGGATCTGATAAGGCAGTTAGGAATAATTGGTGTCAGATTTTCAAGTACTTTTCCTCACATATTTAACAAATAATTAAATAAAATTGCCTTTTTATGTGAGTTTGTAAAAAGGGTAGGTAGCTTTGACCATAATGAAAATTTCAAGGTCTAATGGTGAAATACTAACTGTTACATTTTATGGTTTTTTTATCGTGACTTCAGATGTATTTCATTAAGTCTGAGTCAATTTTAGGTGAGTACTTCAAAGGAAACTAGTAATTTATATTTAAGATAACTTAACGCTTAATAAGCTTGGTATTTACATTTTTGCTGTAGGCCTCCAATAAAGTTGTATCTCGAATTAAATGGATTATACTCTCCAAGTAGATCAGAGCCAACACTGTGTCGCGTATGTCCACCGAATCTGATAGAACTTTCAATGGTAGACTCAATTCGTGGTCCATTAGTGGCTGTTGGAAATAATCGTGGTGATATTCAGGTGACTGCACTTTTTCAATTTTCGTTTCATTATTGCTTAGTTACATTATTTTATGTGGTTCACATTTCATTATTTCACTAGTATCTGGTATAATGCCATTGTACAATTTTTAGGAATCTTTTTGTATGTTTTTTTGACTAATCAATGTTCATGTCGTATGTTTTTAGCTGTGAGGAAGTTACCAAATACTTGGGTTTCTTGATTGTCCTTTGACCTTTTACTTACGCCTGTTACCCCTCGTGGAGAAGCTTAAGGCTCCCACCAGAATTATCCACCGAAAAATGTCCTGGACAATCCTTCCCAGTTCTTTCCAGATGCTATTCATCCTTTTCATGTCTACTTCCAATTACCGATACAGTGTGTTATTTGGTCTTCCGCTGTTCCGTTTCCCTTCAGGATTCCATGTCAGGGATTGCCTCATGATGCAGTTTGATGATTTCCTCAATGTATGTTTTATCCACTTCCAACATGTTTTCTTAATTTCTTCTCGAGTTAGAAGTTGGTTTGTTCTCTCACATGGTAGGCTGTTGCTGATAGTATTCAGTCAATGGACATTCAGTATCTTACGCAGACAATTGTTTATGAACACTTGTACCTTTTTGATGATGATTGTAGTAGTTCTTCAGGTTTCAGCCCCGTACAACAGAACAAACTGTCTGCACGTTTATATTTGAAGTTCTGGCTTTGATGTTTTTCAGTGTTATAGCATTTGATATAAATACATGTTTATTTGTGTTATTTCTATTTCTGTTTGTTATTTTTAGATTTGGGATGTATCATCAGCTATATTATGGCGTGAATATCATGTACTACCGGTACCTATCAAAGGAATTGAATGGATAGCAATACCTCGAACAATTTATAAAAATAAACAAATCGGTAAAGTTTCTTCGAGACCATCATCATGTGAATATTCATTAGGTTTAATTGTTCATGGTTGGCAATCTAAAGATGGTCATCGAAGTTCTCTTACTGAAAATTCATTGAATAGAACAAATACAATAGGAAGAAATTTTGTTACTACACTGGACTTATCAACAGGTTATATGCGTATATTTCGTGATACTTCAAATCAAAATATTGACAAGACAGGTCCTCGCATAGGAATCAGTGTTCCCAGTGGTCAACTTTTATCTGGATCTAACGATCAAGAAAATCATTTTGAGGGACCCATTGACATTCTTTGTGTTAGCCACTTCAAGTAAAGAATAATTTTTGGGAATCAGTATTTTTACCGTTTCTGATTATTATTAGTAAATATTGAACCGCTTGTATCTTTTGGGACTCATGTTGTATGTTTTTGAAGAGAAATATATATCTTATTCTGTATATACTTGGTTGATTGAAGGTGAGAACAAACCTCAACATTGTCGAGTTAGCCAGTATCATAGAAATGTTTATACTGTGAATATAAATCACACTGACTAACTGGATATTAAATACAATTCATTAGCTGTTAATGTGGTATCGAAGGTAAAATTCAAAATAATTATCGTTTACTTTTCAAGTAAGTGGTAATAGATTGAGTGTAGGATATTGTGATGTCAAATAGCTTGACTTGGCAGTTTCATCTTAATTCTTAGTCTAGTAAAATTCAATCGGCAATAAAAAATTATAATCTTTGGGCATATTTATTTTGTAGTTTTCTGCAATTAATTCTGGAAAAGAAAGATGAAACCAGCCTATAGTGAACAATTTTGTTTTGTAAACTGCTACGCATAGTTTGTTAGCTGATGAAATAAGCTTATAATTTAGTGAATGTTTAATCATTACTTTATCTTGCAGTTACTCATTTGTTGTATTTCTCTGTATATATTGTTGTATTGTTTAGTATCTGCAATTTGTCATTTTAGACCAAATTTAAATCTTATTCCATAATTTGAAGTATATTGTTTCTTCTTCATCTACAAAAATAAAGTTTTAGTATATATGAGAGTTGGTAAGTAACACAATAAAGGAACGATTATTTATTGAATAAAATACTTGACTCTGAATTGTTGGGTTACGAACTCGTGCATTGCTCCACTCAATTCGGTTCGGGCACATCGGTAGCATCATTAGTTTTCATACCAGAAATTGTGCCTACAAGTTGAGTTCACAAACTCCTACTTGGTTGTTTTTGACAGGATGCAAAATGCTTGCTGCTATATTTCCTATACTACTAAATTATATTTGTTTTAAAAGTTAGTTAAACTAATATGACTGCTCATGTTATACAATGGCATATTCAGTTAAATCATAGTATTTTCCCCTCAGTGACGAAAACAACTTTCTAATAAGTGGTTTGCAATGAAACTAAAGTTAAAGGATAGTTGAACAGCCACTCAATTATGCGAAATTTCGAAACATTGTGTACTTTGTAAATAATATAGATTATATTCGATTTATTTGTGGGATTATTATTAAGTCTCCATCATTTCAGCTTTTAACGTTGGGTCTTATGCTTCATACAGAATATTCTTCTTATCACAGTATCTTTTCCATCATATCACTAATCATTTTGATCAGTATTCAATGTTAAATGGAGTAATGGCTTAGTGGTTAAGGCGCTTGACATTCGGCTACTGTCTCAAGTTTGAACTCTTCGCCTACTTCGGTTTAAGCAACTGGGTAGTATCATCGACACTCACACTTAGTGTGAGTCGTATTAAAATACCTGGTAAATGAGTTAATTTATTATTCCTAAATGTTTCTTATAACTCTAGATTTAAGCGGTGGTACTAATGGTTCGAAATAAAAGTACTTGTGAGGTGACTTTTTAGATTTATCGAAATTGTTTTTGACTTTAGAAATTAAGTTAAAATTTCTTTTTTTATATCTTTTAAATATTTCCAGCCAATACGTTGGCATAGCAATTCGTAGGAGTCCTGTAGAAATATGGAAATTATCTACTTCTTCTTTAATAGTTAAACTACCTTTCCTACCGGATATAACAGCTGTTGCTTTGGTAAGTCACATTTATATTTGGAACATTTTAATTAATCTTGATGGTATTTTAGTACGATAATTGTATAGTCAATCATAATTCGTTTGTTTACTGATAGACAGTAATATACCTCTAGCGGCTTTTATTAATACTCCATTTCCCTCCATTTAAAAACAAAAGATATGTTAATCTGAATCCCTACTTGAAGATTCATTTATCATCGACTTCAAGTAGACAGCTTTTTATGAGAGCGTTGACAGAATTCAGTTTTCTAAATCTCACAAGTAGCAATGCAAGATTGTTTACCTGTTGAAATAATCGTTTAGTTCTCTTAGGTGTTTTCATCAATGTCGTATAACTTTCAGTTGTTGACATGCACCTGTTATTTCATTCACTTCACCTTATTTTAATTTATTCAAACAACTTGTATCTTCAACACTTACAAAATAGTTGTATTTTTACAATTTAGTCACAGAATGTTGAATATACATTTTCACGTTTTCAATCATATAGCTTTTTGTCATGTGTTTTGACAAAATTCATGATATTTATTTTATTCATTTTGTTTTTGTAGGACTGGTGTCATTCGCCAACTAAATATCAACGAAGTCGTAAAATTTCAGACAAGAGTTCTAAGTGGGTTCATTATTTAATTAAAAAAAGACTGGTTTTCTTTTTTTTTATTTCAAAAGATTTAGCTGTTATATTAGCGAATAGAACTCTTTAATATTGCATTCAATATACAATTATCAAGTAGTATTCGTGATTAATATTTTGTTAAACCGCATCAAAAAAACAATATAAGTGTAATTATTATGGTTAGGTTTATGCTTAAGGTATTCTCATAATAAAAGACTGATATTTGAGCGAAGAATGGTCTTTTCGATAAATTCTCTTCAGGTTCTACAATTATATATCCAAATTAATAATCCGAAAAATGGCCAGGTTAAGGGCAAAGTACATCGTTTAAAGTATGTGAATTTAGGATTGTTAAACAATAACAACTGTCCAGTGCTCCCAGGTTTGCGATGGTTGTCGAACTTAGATCAACTAGTGATCTGAATATAATTAACTTTTTTTATGTAAGAGAATGACATGGTTATGCATAAAATAAACATGATAAATTGTTATCGATGGTCGGAGAAAATTAGTTTTTAGGTCACTCACTCCTCAAGTAATTATGGCCTGATTGTTAGACCTAGTTTTTAAGCACCATATCCGTATATTTATTTGGACAGTTTACTAATTTTCCTTGTCACAACTCTTCTTAAAAACAAAATCTTATTAGGCTATCGGCTGCAGTATAATCCAGGAATAGTAGGGCAAAATGACGTAATCGACAAGTACCATAAAGTTGCTAACAAAAGGTATTTCGACTGTCTTTCTAATAGCCACTTTTTAGGATATGTAGTACAAAGTTGATACATGGTAGACGCGAAAATATACTTGTTTTTTTGAAGTGTGATTATTTCCCAGCAACATTGAAATTTACGGTCACTGAAATACGCAAAATGAAAAAAAGTCTGTTACTAGTCGATGTATGACTTTTCTTGTCATTGTATTCTCTTTTTAAAATATTGAATAATTTATTTCATCTATGTTATAGAAATTCAGTCTATTTAACACTTTGTTTATATTTTTTTCTAAAACTAACATTAAGTGATCAATCTGCAATTGCATAGAAATTTGGATCAATTCATTTAGATGATATTTAGTTTAGTGATCAGTTTCGATTGTTAAGTATCACCTCTTTCATTGATTTGAATTATTTTTTTTTTTTAAGTAGTACATGTACCAGGTTTATTTGAAAATTTTTAGTTACTGCTTATGTATTCATGAGTAAGTAATATAGTTCTAAACGTGTACGTTTGTCTTACACAATATTTATTTTCCCATTCCCTTATTTAGAACATTTTTATTCGTTTTATATCTGTTAATTTAGATCTGAGGACTATGTTCATTCAAAGGAATCTGCTCGTACTCGTGAATCATGTATTATATGCACTTCGGATGGTAATATTCGCTTGATTGCAGTGAATAATGATTCAGTAGATAGCACTTCAGTTTCAAATACAATGTAAAATACATTGTTTACTGATATATACTGTTAACAATGTTATGAATAGCTACTCAAGCTTTTCGCTAGGTGTAACACATGTAATCGCAACCAAAGACATCAGTTTAAGCAATTATTAAATGTTATTTAGGGTATTGATTCTTGATTATGTAAAAGTCGACATAAGCTATCGTTAGAACAAATAACAAAAGGGAAATTATAGTTTCATAAGTTAAATATTAAAATAATAGTTATAAATAAAATAATAAATCAAACCCTTAGAAAGTGGATTATTAAAGATATCACTGTATGTAAAAACACAACTGGAATATAGAATAGACGGAATGTGGTTAGCAGTAAAATCCAGAACATACGTTCCGTCCCATTTTGAACTCGCTAGTTGGATATGCTTGGATCCCAGAGTTGATATTTATTGAGGAACTTAAATTTAGTGCCATTCGCTTCAAATGCTATTGTGTTATCCACTTAGTTTCTGAGTCCAGATAGCCAATCATAATAGCCACTCGACAACGCAATAATTCAAAACCATTTCAAATTTAATTAAACAACTAGAATATTATACTACATATGTATTCAAGGAGTATCTTGAAATTGGCGTGTCTTTATAGTGTGTTATACGTGGAATTGTGTGTGCTCATGAGGTTGTCTACCATTATCTTATCTCTATAGATTTCATTCTTTATGCCCCTCGACAAATTTTTGTGAGATAAAACACTACTCAGTAATTGAATTCATGGATACGTATTTTACTATCAATTGATTTATCACTAATTTCCAACTGGTGTTATGTTTTTCTAGATCTTAGTGCCTGTTGAATTCAGTTGATCAAGATGCAGTTTAGTTAATGGTTTAAAAAACGTGATATCGCGTGCACTATGTTGAGATGCCAGGTGGTTGGAAACAGAACAGTTTCCTGTCGAATAACTCCATTTGCCTAACATTTGACTATATTGTAGAAACGGACATTATCTCTGTTTAAAAGCATTCTAAATATATACGATAGCCAATTAAACTTTTCGCCCTCTCGAGTTCGTCAATTAAGTGTTGTATGTTTACTTCACTCTGTCAAAAGAAAACCGTAAATTTGGATTATTTACATCATAATTAATTATTCATTTGAACTATACAATACATTTCATTTATTTCAGATACTTTATCGTCTAATTTCTCGACACTAGTTGTTTTCTTAATAATACAATTTAGTAAGAAAAACTCAGGACAGCTCACATTTGCATTCCAGGTGAAGATCATTGTCAGACAAAGCTGCTTACTCTCTCCCATTCTCTTTTATCTAGAGGTTGACTGAATTACATAAAACCCACATTTCAGGGGAAGCATGGATTGCAATGGACAACTCGGAATCAACTAGAAGAGTTGGACTTCGCAGATGACCTGGCCCCTCTATCCCATACACACGAACAAATGCAGATGAAGATAGCTGGTCTAGCAGTAACCCCTAAAGCAATAGGACTCAACATACACACGGGAAAAACCAAGATCCTCAAATGCAACACGGAGAATAATCCAATCTCACTTAATGGAGAAGCTCTGGGAGATGTGGAACCTTTCAGGTACCTGGGAAGTACCATCGATGAACAAGGAGGATCCGATGCAGACGTGAAGGCGAGGGTTGGCAAAGCAAGAACAGCATTCCTAAAGTTAAAGAAAATATAGATCTCAAAACAACTATCAGCTAACATCAAAGCCAGAACTTCAAATATAAACGTGCAGACAGTTTGTTCTGTTGTACGGGGCTGAAACCTGAAGAACTACTACAATCATCATCAAAAAGGTACAAGTGTTCATAAACAATTGTCTGCGTAAGATACTGAATGTCCATTGACTGAATACTATCAGCAACAGCCTACCATGTGAGAGAACAAACCAACTTCTAACTCGAGAAGAAATTAAGAAAACATGTTGGAAGTGGATAAAACATACATTGAGGAAATCATCAAACTGCATCATGAGGCAATCCCTGACATGGAATCCTGAAGGGAAACGGAACAGCGGAAGACCAAATAACACACTGTATCGGTAATTGGAAGTAGACATGAAAAGGATGAATAGCATCTGGAAAGAACTGGGAAGGATTGTCCAGGACATTTTTCGGTGGATAATTCTGGTGGGAGCCTTAAGCTTCTCCACGAGGGGTAACAGGTGTAAGTAAGTACGTGGGTGCTATGTTCGAAGAGATTACGATACCACCTGAAACTGGAAAAGTGTACGAATGTCAACAACACGACAATAGGACAAGCCAGGCTATTCCACTGCACCCCTACACCCTAACTAGATGGAGAAAGCCAGATTCAACCAAGGAAAATGTATATTCAACAAGCAGTCAGGAGCACGAATCAAGAGGCACACAACTCATGCGTACGTGTACTGTACAATAATGTTCTTAGTAAGCTTCACAGAATAGCGTACTAAAAAGGAAACGAATCAATGACATTTAAGTTCCTTCCAATTGGGAACTACCAACTGAAGGTAAAGTTGGCACTTTTGGTGCGAAAATGAGAAATTCAAATTTCCAAAATAAAATTACAAAAATGAGACGTTTAGCAAGTAATTTCTGGGGATCTATCATCTCCAACCAGGGGTTAGTAAGTAAGTAATCAGAAAACGCATCAGTTTGTTATTATCTTCAAATCATTTTACGGTTAATATGGTTTATTATTATTTTAGTTTATCACATAATTTCCAACGTATTTCCTACGTTTTTTATTTGTAAAATTATAGTTTAAACGGTCTACCAACTGTTAGTTTAAATCGAATTAATTCAGTTGCTTGGTTCTCTGATTTGGTTGCTTTTGGCACTTTTGATGGTTTTGTAGCTGTTCGAGATTTACATAGTAAAAGAACATTGTTTAGAATAACTTGTTCAAAGTCACAATCAAATTATTTTGATCAAGCTCTTGGTACTTTTAATGAACAATATTTCGACCCAGATATAATGTTAGAAACCAATACTCCTGTTGTACATCCTTCATTGAATATTCGACGTTTATGTTTTACACCGGGTTTATCAACTTTTACTCGTCTTCTTAGTTTGCAGTTTGATTCCGTATGTGTTTGGGAACCAAGACAGGTAAGTTAGTCTACATGGTTTAATTTTCTTATCAATTCATTATATGATAATTGACAAAAATTAATGAAAAGAAAGTATAGGTGAACAATATGAAATTGGAATAATAAATGACAACTACTGAATAGTATTAATTGGTAGCGTTTTATTTTACAGAAAAAAAGAGCGAATAAAGGTAGTGGTTGAAAATATTCTGTTATTGTAGTTTTTATACCAATATTCTGTTTGCTCAAATGGTTTTTTAAAAACCATACCCGTTAGCTGAATAGTTGTTTTAATTCATCACGCAAGAATAAATAATCCAGTTACTTTTTATAAAGTAACGCGTATCTTTACACAAATTATATTGTGTAGACATTCAGTTTTTCTTTTAATCTCTTAAAAAGCGTTATTTCTGTAGAGCGTCTCCACTGAACTTAGTTTTATTTTCTTTTTCTGTCATCCTGTCATATGTGTGTATGGAGTTGAAATTTTGATTCCTTTTCTTAACATTGGAATTGTCTTAGTTTTGCGTTCTAATGTGTGGTATATATTATCGTGTGTGAAGGCGACAAACTAAATTCATTGCTGTAAAGTAAAACAGCGTATCAGTGTTCTTATTCACCCCATATTTTAATTTTACTAACCAGGTAAACAGTAAATATGTATTGATGATATACTTACCAATTGATAATCAAGCATAATCTTCTAATTGAAATTTTGTGTTGTCCCCATGTATATTGTAAGCATTCCTATAGGGTTGAATTATATATTACAACACTTTATACATGATTTTACATTTCTTCCAGATGCTCCTTTTATGTATAATTGAATTCGGTGTATCAGTTCATCAGTCCTTAATTTGTGCTGATTGGGTTTCTGTTGTGACTAAATTATCAGATAGAGCTTTGTGTATTCTGTTGGGTGGAGATGGTGCATTACGACTTGTACAAGCTGGTCAAGCTAATTATGAAATGACAGTTGTTAATTATTCTAATCAATCAGTAAACCTTGGGAATACAATTACTCGTGGAACTACTTTACAAGATCCAATTTCAAAATTTTACATTCAGAGTTCATTACCAGATAGACCTGATATTCAAGGTATTAACCAATATGTTAATATACTCATGATTTGTTTTCTTAAAAAAACGATTTCAGACATTTCATATTGAGTATTTCTAATGACATTAAAATGTATAATCGTGAAACAAAATTAGTCAATCCTTTGTGGCTAGAAACCTTAGAGTTTGCTACATTGTTACATATAGGTTCACACATTAATGTCAAAATCTATGGGTTATTAAACCAATACGTTGATCGCTTATAAAAAGGTAAGTATTATATTGGCAGAAAGTAAGGAAAGAAAACTATGAAGCTCGAAAAGCTATTTTTGGTGAATTAGTGTGTATTTATCAAATAATTGGTTTATAATGTTTTTACAATCCTATTTTTTTGGCTTATTAGTTGATATTATATATATTCAAAATTTACAGTGAATTAACTTATTGCATGTATTTCTTCATGTCAAAAATTCCTTAGCTGACCCGTTATTTATAGTATGTTTTGCTCTCGCGTTTTAATTACTTACCCACGTGGTTCGTGGGTCTAAATTAGACATACTTCCGATTACCATTAGGAATATGTGGATTTTGTGTGAACTCTGTTATTTTAGTTGGAAACTATAACAGTGTTTATATCGATGTTCACTCAAGTTTCTTTTAGTCCATGTTACACGTGATGTTAAAGCGTATACTTTTTCCACCTATATGATTTTTATTAAAGGGTTTATATTTTGAATTCCTTGGTTTTTCGCATATTTATAAGCCCATACTAACGTTCGATAAGTCAGGTGCTTGCGTTGCAAGCAAGTACTTAAACTGATAGAATGTTTTGTTCATCGACTGTATTTCATAGACGCACTCTTTCTGTTTTTACCGTCGATTCTGTAACTATTATTATTATTATTATTATTATTATTATTATTATTATTATTATTATTATTTGAACACATAAATATTGGTACAGGGGGGCACCAAATATATATGCGCCACACAAAACAGTGATAATTAGAAGAGAAGGAGAAAGGAGAAGAAAAAAAAAAGTAATGAACGTGGGGAATTATATAAAAAAAAATAAGAGAGAGAGAGAGAGAACAATGGTGGGGGAAACGGAAAGGTACAATCAGAACAGATCTTTCAGTTAAGGAAGAATACGACCACCTTTTTTATGAAGAAAGTAAAAGAAGGTTACAGCAGGATCGCCACTGGCTTCTATTCTGAGCCATATCTGATAACGTCTCTAGCCACTGCGTTACACCATCTCTCGGACCCCAACCAGGGAGTCGTGAAAAACCAACATAAGCTAGCCCTTTGCAGCTTTCTTTCATACCACGACACCATGTCATATACTGACCACCTCTCCGCTTTTTCCAACCAGTCCCAGAGTCGGCAAATAATGCACGACGAGGAATTCTCTGGGACGACATTCGTAGAACATGTCCAAGCCACCGAAGTCGGTGTTTCAAGATGGTGACACCAATTTCATTATCGTCTCTGTGACCGAACACTCGATGCCGAACCTCTGCATTACTGACATGGTGTTGCCACTGGATGCCAGCAATCCTTCGGAGGCAACGATGATCGAACACAGAGAGTCGTCTAACATCCTCAACTCGGAGAGGCCAGGTTTCACAAGCATAGAGCAAAACTGCTCTCACCGTCGCGTTGTAGATCCGACCTTTTACAGCCAGACTAACATCACGAAGGCGCCAAAGATGGCCCAGATTGGCATAAGCCGCTCTGGCTTTCACTATACGTGCATTGATCTCATCACTCACACCACCACCAGCACTTATGCAGCTACCTAGATACACGAACTTCTCGACTACTTCTATCTGCTCACCATCCAGAGTGAGTACAGGATTAGAATCCTGCCAGTCTTGTAGAAGTACTTTGCACTTCGAAGGTGCAAAGCACATACCATACCTACGGACACTGATTGCCAACTGATTAAGTGCGGATTGCATGGCTTGGGCATTCTCGCACAGTAAGACAATATCATCCGCATACTCAAGGTCGAGAAGTCTTTCTCCAGGCAACAGATCCACACCACCATTACTTACATCCATCAGAGCTGTTTCCAGAATGTCATCGATGGCAAAGTTGAAGAGGAATGGCGAGATTGGGCAACCCTGTCTAACCCCACTGCTCGAATGGAACAATGGAGAAAGGTGATTGTATGCCCTCACTCTGCCTGAGGTGTTTGTGTATAGGGCTTTTAGGATGTTAATAAACTTCTCAGGCACGTCCTTCTTCAATAGACAATCCCAGAGAACAGTTCTGTCCAACGAATCGAAGGCAGCCCTGATATCAAGAAACACTACGATTGTTGGCCTTCGATAAGTATGGCGGTGTTCTAACACTTGGCGGAGGGTGAAGATATGATCAATACATCCTCGACCAGAACGAAACCCAGCCTGCTCCTCGCGAGTCAATCCTTCTCGGGTTCTGAACAACCTACGAAGTATGACGGAAGCCAATAGCTTGGACGCAATCGGAAGTAGAATTATCCCCCGATAGTTGTTACAGGAACGACGTGAACCCTTTTTAAAGATAGGGACAACTATCGACTCATTCCATGACGTTGGTACACTCTCTAGTTCCCAGACCTTTGCAAACAACGTCGTCAGTCCCTTAGTCAGAAAGTCACCACCATCTTTGAAAGGGCCGGAGGCAAGTCGTCTGGGACCGGTGATATGTAACGTTTCAAGAGTTGAAGTTCCTTGCGGACTTCCGCCTCATTTGGTGGATCATTCGTCAGCGGCCATGGATGGAAGGACAGTCTGACCGATGTTGCCGGAGCAGCAGGCCAGTTGAACTGCCCTTCAAAGAATTCTGCTCATCGTCCAAGACGTCGATGGATGTTAGTGATTGGCGTTCCGTCATCCTCGCAGATTGTTTCGCTCACACCAGACTTCTTGCTGCCGGTGGCTCGGATGAGTTGGAAGAGCTTCCGGTAATTACCAGATGCAGCTGCTGCTTCCAACTCACTGGCACGCTCCGACCACCAGGTTTCTCGGTCCTTACGCAAGCTTTGCCCGATTTCATTACGTAACAACCTTCGTCTGTGGTCAAACTCACGGTCATCCGGAGTAGACCGACGGGCTTCAATCAGTTGTAAGGAACCAGAAGAAACCCAGTGCTTGTAAGCGGGACGTTTCGCAATCCCACAGCTGACTTGACCCGCCATTTTCATGGCGTCATGCAATTGCAACCAATGCTCATCTATACTTTTCGGTGGAATAGTGGCTAGCCTAGAAGCTAGCTCGGCTCGGTACTTACTAGCAACAGAAGTTGCAGCCAGCTTGCTAACATCAATCCTTTGGTGGCGGTCACTTCGTTGTCCACTGAAAAGTAAGGTAAGATTGGCGCAGACCAGGGCATGATCAGATTCCAGATAGGTACTCCAAAAGGAGCGGCAGTCTTGTACACAACCGCGCCAGCGGTAGCTGATCGCGATGTGATCAATCTGAGTCCAGGCTTGAGATGCAGAAGGGGGACGCCAGGTGGCACATCGGCGATGACTGTGCCGAAAGTTAGTGCTAGCCAGAAACAGGTTGTGGTCTGTGCATAGTTGCAGTAGACGTTCCCCGTTATCTGTCCTGCGACCAACGAGTCCCCATCGGCCACCTAAACGACTCTCTTCTGTGCCTAGACGCCCGACCTGAGCATTCAAGTCTCCAGCTAGTACTACAATATCTGTCGAACGCACTTTCTGGAGAAGAACAGATAACTGGTGGTAGAACTCATCCTTGATTGCATCCGGGCTGCAATCTGTCGGGGCATAGGCGGAGATGACGAAAAGACATCGTTTCTCACGCCGATTTCTTCTCACTTTGATGGTACTTTCTAATCTAACAGCACATAACCGACTGTTAATGGGGATCCAGTCGACTAGTGCTGCCTCAGCTCTTGCGCTTAGTGCGACACCAACGCCAGCAAGACCAGACGAAGATGCCACAGGGTCCCCGGATAAACGCACGTAAAACAAGCTTTTTGGAGCGACAGATGGAGAGCGAACTTGTAGTACTTCACCAGAGTCTTGAATACGGGTCTCGGATAGACAACACACATCAATATTAAGACTTTCCAAAGACATAGCCAGTCCTATCTGTTGTCCGACCTGCATAAGTGTGCGAACGTTAAAGGCAGCCAGTTTGAATGGTGCGCGTGGTTTCAGAAAGACTGCTTCAGTACTCTTATTCGATGGTAACATACAATTTTCAAACCAGGCAGTGACTCGAGAACGTTTAGATAAAGCTGAATTTTTACCATAGGCGAGCTGCTGTCTGAATCGAAACGGATACAAAAAGTAGAAATAGGAGATAGTGAGTAAATGACGTAGTAAATAATAATAATAATAATAATAATAATAATAATAATAATAATAATAACAATAATAATAATAATAATAATAATAATAGTATCAGTCATTTCAATGTTAGTCAGAGAAGAACGAATATTTTCCGTAAGCGAATATTTCATCATGTTTTGGTGTGTGGGCTGAGATACTGCCCGGGTGCCCAAACCGAAGCAGGTGGTTTTCTTAGGGGGCCACACCCCGAGCCTTTGACCTAAAGGTCTAGTCCACAAGGCAGTGGAGCATCGTGAGGAGATGCAGTCCCATGGAAGCCGGTGACCAAAAGTTGGTTCATACGCCATTTGTTCCTTCAGGATACTGGAGCCCATGTGCACCATAGAATTGGGATCCGGTTATAGCGCCGGACGTTCGCTTTTCGTCCTCTCATTTTCGTAAACAACACCCCCGCCACGAGAAGGCAGTGAGTAGGACTTCCCTGGCAGAGGCTGTATACGCGTGGCCGTGTGAGAGTATTTCGAGAGGGAGGGCGAACCCTCCCCGCTCTCGGCCATACCAGGGCATTTGGGGGCGATTCTGTAACTAAACCAATGTTGGCTATCTATCAGGTCGCTTACATAGACATAAGAACATAAAATACAATTATGGGCTTCTCGTTCAAGTTGTTACCTGTCACAACGATTTAAAATTACTGTAAACATTATGATGACAGTTATAAAAATATCAGAAAGGGTTTTTGTGGATATTATAGTAATTTCGGTAGTTGAGATTATGAGTCAATTGAAGCTAGATATAAAAATGCTGGTTAACACGGGAAGGCGAGAAAGTTTGTATCAGATTGGGCAGAGTTCTGAGTACAAATGAAACAAAGAAATAGTATTATCATTTTTAAGAGTTGTTTTTTTTTCTCCAACAGTTCACCTCTTTAATTACCCTTTTCTGTATGGCTAACTCATCTACACACGGATTGAACTTGGTAATTACAATTTAAACATTAGTATATTCATCTATTTCAAAATGATAGGTGAAGGTTTGATAAAATTCTACATTCACATAATCTAAACTGCATAGGTTAATTAAGTATGTAGAAAGTGCAAATAAATATGTTACCTCATGTAACGTTTTACGAAGGAGGATCTAGACAAGCTTTTTCCAGTTCTGTTATGTTTTCTTGTCTTTCAAGCTTAGTGTTCTATCTCCATTCGTAAGATCTTAACAATTTAGAGTGGTGAATGAATTCTATGCTTTTTTCATAGATAGGTCCAACTAAATCTTGTTTTTTCTTGAAGATTAAACAAGTTTTTGTTATTACAATTAGACTTGAAGTAGTAATATTAGTCTATCTTAACAGTTAGTTAAGCTAATGACTGAATCATTTCATTGATTTACGTGTGGTTGTTGTTCTTTTTCAGGTTTATCTATTTCAACCAATATGATGAACAAATGTTTACTTTTGAACTAAGAAAGTTTATTTAAGCTTTGCGTAAATTTATTAATAAATTGTAAAATTCAACTTTTCATTTATGTTGTTAAGTACATAAACTCGTTTATAAGCATCTATGAACTTTTTCAATCTTTTTGATAATGAGCATTTATTTAACTGTCTGAAACGCAATATTACTTTAGACGTACTTTACATAAGTGTACATCTTAGCTTGGTATTCAAGTTGGTTTATTGTTATTAAATTTTGTATATTTTTATTCATTTCTATAATAGTTCACTATAAAAATGGTTGTGACTTAATGGTAATATCGAAGCGATGTACATATGCCAACGAAAAAGACTGATAGGTTGTAGTCCTAAGCCATCAATAGGAAGATTGTAACAACCAATACAAATGAATTGAAATTCACCCTGTTGCACAAACCAGTAGCTATCTGGACTTAGTAATTAAGTAGATAACACTATGGGGTACTGGGTTTGATTCTTGAAGTAAACATCAACTGGGCTGCAGGTGTATTCAGCTGAACAATCTCAAATAGGATGAAATGTGCGTTCTGGATTCCATTGTTAGTCACCATCCAACTCTGCTTAAAAGGTTCACTAGGAATTTTTGTTTAATCTCAGTCTGTTTACACTTAAAGTTTTACTTCCTCATTTTAGATCCTGTTTTAGTCCCGTCGTTACTTCCATCCATCACTGCTCTAAATATTCGACATCTCTTACAACATCAACCGTGGTGTAAAAAGTCTCAAAATATCCCTTCAATTAAAAATGAAAATTTATTGATTGACATAACTCCTAGTTCTCAAACGTTAAAATGCTATCAGACTACCATAGCTAATACTGAATCAGACCAAAGCTCTTATTCTAGTAGTGACTGTTCTCTGCTTGCTCCTGGTTTTGCAAAGATTCAGAATTCTGTAAATATATTCCTATATGGCCTAAAAACAAGGTATGCTTGTGATCAGATTTTTTCCGCATTTTCATTTACAATAAACTTTCACCTTATGTACATTTATTGCTAGATTAAGTAACAACTGATAATATGGAGATAGTTCTCCTTTTCATAGAATATTTGACTTGATTTCTTCACATATACCATTAGTTAAACACGTTAATCGCTTTAATTACAACAGGACTTACATGACCTCTGATATATTGGTTACCGAAAAACTTATGTCGCTTGCTACATTTTCTCTCTTGCAGTATAAACCAGATATTCACATATCGATGAACGAGGATACAGCACATAACACCTGTTGATCTTCTGTGCCATTAGTAATACCCAACGTTCAAGATAGGTGACGTAAAAGCGTTCCTTTTTAATTGGTGAAGTGCCAGTAGTAGTACTAGACATCAAGGTTCAGGTAAATCATTTGACTCCACCATTGATATTTCCTCTTTGTACCTATGAGGTTAGCTGGAGTTTATTAGGATGATTTGCCGTGTCTCAGAATACTTTATTGTGATTAGTCTTTTCTTATGTTACGACACGTAACTTAGTGTTATTTGGAGATTGTTAGTCTATGTTTTCTTTTGGTCTCTAGTTATTACAGTTCTGTGTCCATGCCGAGATTACAGTTTGAATTAGTGTCTGCAATCTTTTGGACTTCATGTCCGTCGTCGTTTAGGACTTAACAGCAGGTTTTTGAACCTAGTTGAAATAAGATCTTTTATTACAATTAGCCTTTCTATAACACAATTATTCTACCAGTGAATTCTTTTATGATATAAAGTGACTGATGGCTACGAAATGTGATATTTTGTGCCAAATTCCTATACGTTACATCTGTTGAGTTTTGCTTCGGTTACAGTATGGTAAGTCAGAAATTAGCCTACCACGTTATTAATACGTCTTTATTGAAATTCAAGGTTCATAGATACTTAGTTTGTAAGACGTCGATTAAAATATAAACCGTCAACACATGCATTACTTTTTAATATAGAATCATGGATTGTAACTAGTTTCTACCTATTTTTGGTACTAATTGTCTACATTTTTCAATTGATTTGAAGTATGATGGACCTTGTGATTTTGTTTGGAAAAGGAGTACAAGATTTAGTAATATGTAGACATATTGAAAAGAAGTATAAAAGTATTTCTGGTGTGATGAGCAAGAATTATGTAGAGTTTGAACTTGCTTACTAGCTGAGTTGTTTTGTGCTTATCAACTAATGTGGCTTTTGATTCCAACATTGTAAGTATACCGTAATGATAATAAACAGTATGTCACTTAGATCAAAACTGTCCAGTAAATTGAACATCATAAAAATTTTTTCTTAACAATATTTCACACCAGTTTCTTTGTCCACTTACATTGTAGACATGAATTATCTACCAGTTTTATGAATCTGTCGAATACTACCATTATTGAACGTTGCTTATGGACCGCTCAATTATTTGGTGATGTATACGAAGTAAAATTTTGGCGATTGGTTGCAAATCGTTTACTATACAAAAAAGCTTTACATAACAATTCACAACAATTAAATAACCAGTTATGGTCTCGTTATTTTTTAGATTTATCTTGGGATTTTTTAGCTGACTGCGATTTATATCGTCAGAATGTTGAAAAGTTCATACCATATATGGAAAAGTCGCATAATTTACCTACTGAAATTATGGATTGCGTTAATACACTGATTATGGTCGGTAAGTATTAATTTGACTGGGGTTTCGGTTCCAGTAAACGTGGCAGCATAGACAGGTACAGCGAAGTGTTTAGAGATTTAGCTTATTTAAAGCAATTAATCCCTTTGATAAGTCTCGATAATGTCTGATAATCTCCATCTTCTCATTACATTATCGAAATTTAGCTTATTGTCAGTAGTTGTCAGTTACACATGGATAATTGCTCCTATAAGAATACATTTATTATATTGTACCGAATCGTTATTTCCCTATTTTCACACTTACTGATCTACAACAGTAACTTGCTAGGTTTAAGAACGCATTGTCCATTAGAGTCTGCTATCTCTCTGTGCACATGACGGTTATTAGGAATTCCTTACATCTTTGTTACTGTCGTTTGGACTAATTCTCTATTTATTATCCAGCCAAAATGGGGTGTTGTAAGAGTCTTAGTCATTTTTCTCATGATTCTACATGTTTGCAATTTGGTTTGTATCTTACTCAATACTTTTAAAGTTATCACTGTCTTCATCGCATAAGTTCTGTAGGAAGCCGCCTTTACATAGAAGAAGCAGATTGACAACATTTAAGGACGATTGCATTTCTAATATTTATTAGCTACATCAGTATGTACTGCCAACAGACAAACTGGTAAATTGACAACCATGTCTTATCTCTGCTATACGGTCGTGTTTTACGAATTCTGGTCTAATTTAATATTCGTTTACCACATAAAACGACCTCTTAGTAGAGGCTTTTTTGCTTCGTGCTGTGCTATATTTATAACAGCTTTTCAGGACCCATATAAATAGTTTCATTTGCTGTAAATATGGAACCATATATATGGTGGTTTTTCATCAAATAAGGATTGAGTCAAGCTACAAACCTGCACATGTTCAGGTTTCCGATTGTACCCATGTTAAGTGCCATTTACAAGTTTCCTAGTGAGAATGGAATTTGTTGGGAACTCGATAATCTTAACACTAACAAACACTAGGATGAAATATCAGTTCTATTAAACTTATTTATATTCATTTCATTTCTGCATTCATAAGTGAATTTTGTCCTCAACAATCCGACTTATTGTAAGTATCAACATATGGTTATAAATTTATTTGTATTGGTGTTTATAATTGCAATTAATTAGTCTTTTTTTGGCATGTTTACATCCTGTGTAGATCACCTCGATAATGCCTCGTAAGTCTTATAAGCAGCAATAAATGGTGGCTAACAGGAGAATCCAGGACTCACTTTTCGTCCTATTTGTGATTCATCGACTGGACGCACCTGCATCCGAGTAGATGTTCACTTCAAGACTCGAATACAGTACCGTTTACTCCAAACCCCATATTGCTATCTACTTAGTTACTGAGTCCAGATAGCCTCTGGTTCGCGTATTGGTTGTTTGGATCTTCCCAACTGCAATTGATCAGGGTTATGATGATTGTCGAATTGCCTTGATATCTCAAACCGATTTAAGTTAGACAACCAATAAAATTCTGAAAACACAGGATGGACATTTCGTGCTAGTATGTGAGTCCTCGAAATTGTGCTTCCATTGCTCCTGTAACCTCATGATGTTTAAATCATCGAATAGTCTACAGTCAGTGTCGTAGTCTGAAATGGTTTGAGGAACGTCACTCTAGTTTGATTAATCTACCATGACCACAAATTCGTTCGTTCGATCCTGATTGGTTCGGAAATGTTTAACTTTATCAATCTTGCGTTTTAAAAACTGAACTATTAATTATTCTAATTACAGTTTTAGTTATTATCTGCAATTTTATTATGATTGAAATAACAATAATTAACTAATTTTAATTTAGGTCAACAGGATCGTGCAGTTTCTTTATTACTGGAAACACCTGCAGATTCAAGTAATTATTCTATAAATATGTATCGTGCTTGTTTGTTTACGGCAAATATTGCTAGAAAATCTCTTCTATCCGAGTCTAGCGCAAATCAACCAGCAGAGGATAATTATTTGAGTGTAATAAAATTAGTTGCTACAAATTTACTTTCTAATGGAAAAATTAATGATGGCATTGGTTTATTGTGTCTCATTGGCCTACAAGTTGATGCATGCCGTTACTTAGAATCATTCGATCGATGGGATCGTTCCGTATGGTTAGCCAAGGTAGTTATTTTATATATTTGATCATTTTCAACAGTATAATATTAATAATTAATTTTATTGATACAATAGTTCTTTCTGATGATAATTTCTGTCTCAAACTGTTAACACATTAACACTAACTTAACATTACTGAATACTGTCTTAGAAAACTGATCTAAATGCAGTTAGATGATAAGTCTTTCATTAAAACAAATGTTTTGTGCTTTTAACACACACTAACCAATAATGAACCCACTAATTTTAGTATTGTAATACATTAACTCTTGACAGGATATGCAAAATTCCCCAGAACATTCGTCAGAACATCGGAAAAATTATTATTAGGCGAGACTATAATTTATGGATGAATAAATCAGATTTAAGATAACAGATCTTGGATTTTGGAGCAAAATTCATTTACTCATTTGGCTAAATACCATTTTGGCCTTATAGCTAATGTTAGTTCATGATGAAAACATTAAATTTAATTCATAAATCTAACATTCAACTGCAAATTCTAATCCTAATTCCTCTCACCATTATATAACCCTCATTTAACTCTGGTAAGTAAGTGGACATTCCAAGTTCATTTTAGTGTTGCTCAAAGGTCGTCCATAAATTATAGTTTTATCTACAACTACTAGTAAATGACAAATTTCAACAAACAAACCATAATGTTTGTAATATAAAATCTAAACAAACAGATTTATGATTAACTGTTATTTTTAAATATCAAGGTATATTGTAACAGTTGATAAGTCAAATGTAATGGGAATATTATGAATTAGTTATTTAATAAATACACCATTAAAAACAATATACTAAGTAATATCTATAGAAAAATAACTTTCAAAATGTTTCACATTTTTACTAATTTGTTTGTTCCTTAAAAAAACACCTGTACACGAATTCACTGATTCCTTCTTGTTTCGTTTTTATTTCTTGTTGACATTATATAGTAATGACAATTATGTCCAAATAGTTTGTCTTAGATTACGTTTTCTATTTCTGGCTATTATTTCATCTAGTTCATATTATTATACACTAAGTTATACGTTTTATTGTAAGAAGTTTATGAATTAATACGATGAAAATCAATTTTTTATAGATTTTGAAATGGATAGTGGGTATTTTGTTCGAATCCAGTTGCGATAGTTTACTTAGTGTCATTATGTTAAAACATTGGGCTCGGTGGATTGAACATGTATTATGAATGTCATAATAACAGCTTTTACTTAGCGCGTTGATTCTTGACTTTAGGACTGGGTGAAAAAAGCGAAGAGGTGGAGAGTTTATAACATGGCACTGGGATATGATAGAAAGCTGTGTAAGACTTGTATCTGTTAATTCATCATCACTCTCTGGGTGGGATCCTAGAGATGGGGAAACTCAGCAGTGATGTTATCGTAGTTCTTTTTAAAATCATCATAAAAGTGCGAGAAACTCTATTAGTTAGAAATATTTTTTATGGTTTTGTTTTCAACTGAACCATATCTCCTATCATGTACTGTTCTCGCTCAATGATTTATTTGGTTGTACAACTTTCTCATTGTCTATTCGTTCACAATCTTATCGTCTTATTTGGGTGCCACTTTTCTGTTGTTGACACCCATTTGTACCAGAAGGTATGTATATTCAATAAAATAGAATAATATATTTATTACTTGCTTATCACTAGACTATCAGTTTTTAATTATCGTGTTCCTTTTCTAGTGTCCTACATCATTTACTGTTTTCACTTCCTCTTATTTTTTTTTTCCAGTGTACATTATCAATCGAAGAACATGATAAAGTAATGAGACGTTGGGCGTCCTATTTAGCTTCATCTCAGATTAATCGAAAAGTATGTGCAGATTTGTTTTCAATTATTCATTTTCATTGAAATGTCTATTTACAATTATTTATTTCAATGTAACAGGTTTATTTAGGGTGTTTCAGTTATTTACTCATGTTTAGTTAATTTTCTGTTGTGTTTATTATATTTGAGTGTCAAAATTGGTTGTTTTCACTAAAACACTTTTTCAACTGTTTGTTTTCTCCGGATATTCAAATATTTATTCTCATCTTTTAATATAGAACGATAATCAACAAAATGACACGTATCTAGACATTATCTTTTTCTAATATTTGTTTCAGTAGAATTACAAGTATTATGAATGTGTGTTGGTGATAGCTAACTCGGAGATTATTATTTATTTATTTATTTGAACACATAAATATTGGTACAGGGGGCACCAAATATATATGCGCCACACAAAACAATGATAATTTGAAGAGAAGGAGAAAAGAGAAAAAAAAGTAATGAACGTGGGGATAAATAAAAAAAAGAGAGAACAATGATGGGGAAAACGGAAAGGTACAATCAGAAGAGATCTTTCAGTTAAGGAAGATACAACCACTTTTTATGAAGAAAGTAAGAGGTTACAGCACGATCGCCACTGGCTTCTATTCTGAGCCATATCTGATAACGTCTCTAGCCACTGTGTTACACCATCTCTCGGACCCCAACCAGGGAGTCGTGAAGGACCAACACAAGCCAGCCCTTTGCAGCTTTCTTTCATACCACGACACCATGTCATATACTGACCACCTCTCCGCTTTTTCCAACCAGTCCCAGAGTCGGCAAATAATGCACGACGAGGAATTCTCTGGGACGACATTCGTAGAACATGTCCAAGCCACCGAAGTCGGTGTTTCAAGATGGTGACACCAATTTCATTATCGTCTCTGTGACCGAACACTCGATGCCGAACCTCTGCATTACTGACATGGTGTTGCCACTGGATGCCAGCAATCCTTCGGAGGCAACGATGATCGAACACAGAGAGTCGTCTAACATCCTCAACTCGGAGAGGCCAGGTTTCACAAGCATAGAGCAAAACTGCTCTCACCGTCGCGTTGTAGATCCGACCTTTTACAGCCAGACTAACATCACGAAGGCGCCAAAGATGGCCCAGATTGGCATAAGCCGCTCTGGCTTTCACTATACGTGCATTGATCTCATCACTCACACCACCACCAGCACTTATGCAGCTACCTAGATACACGAACTTCTCGACTACTTCTATCTGCTCACCATCCAGAGTGAGTACAGGATTAGAATCCTGCCAGTCTTGTAGAAGAACTTTGCACTTCGAAGGTGCAAAGCACATACCATACCTACGGACACTGATTGCCAACTGATTAAGTGCGGATTGCATGGCTTGGGCATTCTCGCACAGTAAGACAATATCATCCGCATATTCAAGGTCGAGAAGTCTTTCTCCAGGCAACAGATCCACACCACCATTACTTACATCCATCAGAGCTGTTTCCAGAATGTCATCGATGGCAAAGTTGAAGAGGAATGGCGAGATTGGGCAACCCTGTCTAACCCCACTGCTCGAATGGAACAATGGAGAAAGGTGATTGTATGCCCTCACTCTGCCTGAGGTGTTTGTGTATAGGGCTTTTAGGATGTTAATAAACTTCTCAGGCACGTCCTTCTTCAATAGACAATCCCAGAGAACAGTTCTGTCCAACGAATCGAAGGCAGCCCTGATATCAAGAAACACTACGATTGTTGGCCTTTGATAAGTATGGCGGTGTTCTAACACTTGGCGGAGGGTGAAGATATGATCAATACATCCTCGACCGGAACGAAACCCAGCCTGCTCCTCGCGAGTCAATCCTTCTCGGGTTCTGAACAACCTACGAAGTATGACGGAAGCCAATAGCTTGGACGCAATCGGAAGTAGACTTATCCCCCGATAGTTGTTACAGGAACGACGTGAACCCTTTTTAAAGATAGGGACAACTATCGACTCATTCCATGACGTTGGTACACTCTCTAGTTCCCAGACCTTTGCAAACAACGTCGTCAGTCCCTTAGTCAGAAAGTCACCACCATCTTTGAAAGGGCCGGAGGCAAGTCGTCTGGGACCGGTGATATGTAACGTTTCAAGAGTTGAAGTTCCTTGCGGACTTCCGCCTCATTTGGTGGATCATTCGTCAGCGGCCATGGATGGAAGGACAGTCTGAACGATGTTGCCGGAGCAGCAGGCCAGTTGAACTGCCCTTCAAAGAATTCTGCTCATCGTCCAAGACGTCGATGGATGTTAGTGATTGGCGTTCCGTCATCCTCGCAGATTGTTTCGCTCACACCAGACTTCTTGCTGCCGGTGGCTCGGATGAGTTGGAAGAGCTTTCGGTAATTACCAGATGCAGCTGCTGCTTCCAGCTTATTAGCACGCCCCGACCATCAGGCTTCTCGGTCCTTACGCAAGCTTTTCCCGATTTCATTACGTAACATCTTTCGTCTGTGGTCAAACTCACAGTCATCCGGAGTAGACCGACGGGCTTCAATCAGTTGTAAGGAACCAGAAGAAACCCAGTGCTTGTAAGCGGGACGTTTCGCAATCCCACAGCTGACTTGACCCGCCATTTTCATGGCGTCATGCAATTGCAACCAATGCTCATCTATACTTTTCGGTGGAATAGTGGCTAGCCTAGAAGCTAGCTCGGCTCGGTACTTACTAGCAACATAAGTTGCAGCCAGCTTGCTAACATCAATCCTTTGGTGACGGTCACTTCGTTGTCCACTGAAAAGTAAGGTAAGATTGGCGCAGACCAGGGCATGATCAGATTCCAGATAGGTACTCCAAAAGGAGCGGCAGTCTTGTACACAACCACACCAGCGGTAGCTGATCGCGATGTGATCAATCTGAGTCCAGGCTTGAGATGCAGAAGGGGGACGCCAGGTGGCACATCGGCGATGACTGTGCCGAAAGTTAGTGCTAGCCAGAAACAGGTTGTGGTCTGTGCATAGTTGCAGTAGACGTTCCCCGTTATCTGTCCTGCGACCAACGAGTCCCCATCGGCCACCTAAACGACTCTCTTCTGTGCCTAGACGCCCGACCTGAGCATTCAAGTCTCCAGCTAGTACTACAATATCTGTCGAACGCACTTTCTGGAGAAGAACAGATAACTGGTGGTAGAACTCATCCTTGATTGCATCCGGGCTGCAATCTGTCGGGGCATAGGCGGAGATGACGAAAAGACATCGTTTCTCACGCCGATTTCTTCTCACTTTGATGGTACTTTCTAATCTAACAGCACATAACCGACTGTTAATGGGGATCCAGTCGACTAGTGCTGCCTCAGCTCTTGCGCTTAGTGCGACACCAACGCCAGCAAGACCAGACGAAGATGCCACAGGGTCCCCGGATAAACGCACGTAAAACAAGCTTTTTGGAGCGACAGATGGAGAGCGAACTTGTAGTACTTCACCAGAGTCTTGAATACGGGTCTCGGATAGACAACACACATCAATATTAAGACTTTCCAAAGACATAGCCAGTCCTATCTGTTGTCCGACCTGCATAAGTGTGCGAACGTTAAAGGCAGCCAGTTTGAATGGTGCGCGTGGTTTCAGAAAGACTGCTTCAGTACTCTTATTCGATGGTAACATACAATTTTCAAACCAGGCAGTGACTCGAGAACGTTTAGATAAAGCTGAATTTTCACCATAGGCGAGCTGCTGTCTGAGTCGAAGCGGATACAAAAAGTAGAAATAGGAGATAGTGAATAAATGACGTAGTAAATAATAATAATAATACCAGTCATTTCAATGTTAGTCGGAGAGAAACGAATATTTTCTATAAGCAGATAGTTTATCATAGTTTTAGTGAGTGGGCTGGGATACTGCCCGGGTGCCCAGACCAAAGCAGGTGGTTTTCTTAGGGGGCCACACCCCGAGCCTTTGACCTAAAGGTCTAGTCCACAAGGCAGTGGAACATCGTGAGGAGATGCAGTCCCATGGAAGCCGGTGACCAAAAGTTGGTTCATACGCCATTTGTTCCTTCAGGATACTGGAGCCCATGTGTACCATTGGTTTGGGAGCCGGTTATAGCGCCGGACGTTCGCTTTTCGTCCTCTCATTTTCGTAAACAACACCCCCGCCACGAGAAGGCAGTGAGTAGGACTTCCCTGGCAGAGGCTGTATACGCGTGACCGTATACGCTTATTTCGTATTAGCATAATATTATATGTAAATACTTTAGATTAGATATATTTGCTTGTGTATATCAAACATTCGTCTCCAGGACTACATTTTTACCATTTGTATTCACAGTTTTGAAACACTAATTGATCAAATACAATATTCAGTTGATCATTCTTATTTTCTCGTACTTATATCGCTTACTATTGGTCTTCTACGTTTTCAGTAAGGAACTATATGCTCCTATAGCTGAATCAAGCTTTAAGCTGTAAGAATCATGATAAGTGTAACTAAACTTAGAAAATATACATCGTATACCATTAAAATTAAGTAAATATCACCTTCGTCGTAGTAGTATACGCTCTTTGTTTATTTCCTCTAACTATTCGGAGTTATTTCAAAAGAAAACAAACAAATTACTGTCACTTCAGATGTATGTCTACTTGTTATTTACGTGTCATAAATAATATTCTTATCTGCTAGTTAATCATCAATAAAACTTGATTGACAGTTATTATTCACGAATTATTTCGTCATCAATGCATTTGCTCATCACCTTTATGATTCTTAAATTTCAGTTGATTTTTCATGCAATAGTTTACTGCTTATTGATTAGTTGAATGATGACTGAATGGAGATAGTTCTTGCTTTTATCTATTAAGATTCACATTTTTAAAAATCTGATCTTGAGTCTATATTTTTCGAATTCTTTTGTGTACTTTACAATCATAATCTTTTTTGTAAGTAGAGTCTCCTTCTAAATTTGTAAATGTGACTCATTATGTTTTTTAAAATTATGATCATTAGTACTAGCATTTCTTCTAGATTTTAACTTCAATATTTCAAATGATCAACATCAGTTTAACACTTGAATGTCTTTACTCTGAGCCCACTACATTTTCGTCTGTGTAACACGAATATAAATACACTCTCGTACTCAATATCAATAATCATTGCATTCATAAGTTATACTAGATTTTTCTCACTATCACGTCCCAATCTTAATGCACTGATACAAATTAGTGTGATTTATGTCAATCTGCATCTGTTAGCTATCTGTCGTCTATAGTCGATTAGACAAAAGTGTTATTATTACAATTACCTTTCTATACCTTTCTGTTTATAATTTCAAGTCAAATCACTTAGTCAAATTTTCAATGTTTATAATAACACTAATATGATTATTTCGTTTTCTCTTTCTTTCCTCCTTTTTAAAAAAAACAACTTAAAGGATTTAGCTATACTCATTTATGTTTATTTAGAAGATCATTCTAATGTTTTAAAGTTACTTTTTAATCTTAAACAATATCAATTGGCAGCTAGATACCTGGAAGCATGCCGCGAATTAAACTTATTGAATACAACTGAGGAAACCGGTAAGTATTTTTTTTTTTTGTTTTAATAAACTGGGATTATTGTTATTATTATTATTCTCTCTCATATAGAGATTTCATTTAAAAATCTTTTCTTATTCGTTTTGTACATGTGTAATCAAGGAATTAAGCTTGTGATGAACAGTGTGTGTTCATAAAAATAAAATCCAGTTGTTTAAATTTCGCTTACTCAATTAACAATGAAATTTTAGACTTGTATATTCAATTCAAATGATAAATGGTAAGAATATGTATTATATTTTTTAAATCTGTATACGCAGTTAGCATGGGCTATAAGCTTTTTAATCTGTCTAATCAATTACATAACTTCTTACTTAGTTTAAGAAGTATGAAAACCTTAATTTGATGAATTGTTATACCACTTCATTCGTCTGGTTAATATTAGTTTTCGTTTTATTTTTATTTAAGAGAGGAGGAATTCATGATCGTTTATGTGTTGTAGAACATTTCACATTGTTGTATATATTAAACTGTGTAATCTGATCTATTTTAGCATGTTGCAATAGATTAGTATTTGGCATTAATTTTGATATTTTTCTTATCAGTGTAGTTGTTTTATTATAAATAGTTGGTATCCTAAGAGTACGACAAAGCCTTCAGAGAATCTAATGGAGCCGAAGGGATTCATTCCAATCAGAACCTAATAGAGCCTTTTGGGATATCAACTTGGCATACTACGATTGAACAGTAGCATAACATACCTCTTTGCAGATTGGCTGAATTATAATGATGTTATAACAAACACTAATATCTATAAATACTCATGATTTTCTGTACATTTTGATTCTTACCCAACAAACACTTCTCCAGCCTTCTTCTCTTTTCTAAGTTTGAGACTGTAGGGTTCTAAACTTTCGAGTACCGTAGTTGTATACCGTATTCTGCGTTAATCAAGTAGTGAACATAAAAAATTATAAAATGAGTTATGATTTTAGGTACTTTATACGGATATCATGAACTATGTTTGTATTTCTTGATATTCACTAGTGTGAAAAGATCCTAACCGTGGAAATCAGCTCAAAATCGATTTTGATTTGAGAGTTTATATTTGCATATAATTATAATACTATAAATTTCAGATTTGTCAATATCATATTATTAATAAACTCATAGTAAGGATAATTTTGCACTGATTAATATTTCTGTTAAATGTTTTTATTTAAATACAGAATCATTTTATGAGTCAATATTTATGGAATTCGGTTCATTTCTAATAAAACTTGGTCATCATGAAGCTGCTATGTATTATTGTAATTTAGCTGGAAAAATGGCTGATTCATTAAGAGAAGAAATAGATTTTCTTTTGTCGTAGAAATAAAATTTAAACTGACAATAACATTCATCATCATTTCTGAACTTCATGATGATGATGATAAGAAACCAAACAATTTTTTTCATTTCTTTAACCTCATATTTTTTTCCTGTTCGTTCCTCATTTATTTTAACCAAAATACGAGTAGATATTGTTGACTGTGATAGAACTTATATATATATATACATATATATATATATATATATATATATATATATATAATTTGACTTGACTAATATTATATTCCGTTTTGCACATTTTTGTATTTTTTTTTACTTGCCAGTATGTATGTGTGTGTGCGGATAAAACTATTTTTCACTTTTTTTGTATTTCTGTTTTGTTTTTTTCAAAAAGTATATTCTTAACTTTCCTGCCAACATTTCAATTTTGTTGTTTTGAATTTTGTTTGTATCGTTGTTTTTCTTTTGTTTTCTATTTGTTTATATATTTCAAAAGAGAAAGAGGGAATAATCATTTCTACGTGTGATTTTCGTTAGTATTTTTTATTCGACTTTTTGTATTGAATTTGTTAATATAAATGCTATCATATGAAGTGTGACGTCGAACACCACAAGTTGTTTGAAGTTAAACACGTAGACTGCCGGTTGTTGATTTTGTAGTTTAAAGATTAAGCACTCGCTGAAAGTTTTGATGATTGTAGTTTCGATCCTTTAAGGAGTTTGTAAATGCACATTTTTTTGAGGAGTCTCATATTAGACAAAACACCTATCCACTGCTTCCTAGTTCTGTGTTCTTGTCTTATTTTAGCCGGTTCGTATTTTCAATAAACTTTTGCATTAGTTGATTTCCCATTTCCATCGTTAGTTATGGTTAGTATTTCAATTCAAGTTCGATACTAGATGACAGCATGAATAATAAATTTTTCAATCATCTAATAATTTTCTCAGTCTATGATCAAAATGCCAACAGTTAAGAACTGTGATTAATCAAAATAGTTTTGAGGAACTTAATTTCTCGCCCAATCAGCAACAAAAGTGGTTTGCATTATACTCAATGAGATCTCGTTCTGTCTATAGTTGAATTAAATGTTTTATTATTTTGTTCTTTTTTAATGATATAGGGATGCAAATTCTACTGATATCAACGTACATTACTAAATTTGTCAAAGTGAATCGTTATCATTTTCAGTCGTGTCGTGTAGATCTAGTTAGGGCTTTGAGCTGAATGCAGAAGTTTTATTTATTAGTTCATCTTTGACTTGCTAGAGTTAGATGTATAAGCAACTTGGTGATGACAATTTTTGTATTTTCTCAGCATCGGTTTTATTGAACTAAAGCTTGGCATTAAGTGTTTGATATGAAATAAGCAAATATTTTAATTATTTGTGGCTTTATTTATTATTAGAATCTCGGATTTTGTTATCACAAATAGTTTCAATACTTGTTGCTTCTGAGATATTTTTCTAGTGAAATTAGAATTTGCGAAACTGAGTGGTTTATTATCATCACCTTACATAGAATAATACCTCTAGTACATCTTTAATTATAAAATCTCAGATACGTAGGTTTTATTGAAGGATCTAATTTCCGTGATTCATACTTTATCTATTATCCCTGTCTTTATTTGATGTGGTCCTTATGAATGCGCACCGAAGATTCAACTAGTGATTAAGCTCAGAACTTTTGGGCACTTCACGGAGCATTGAACATTCAGATCACTAAGTTGACATCGAGCAGTTTATATTACTAGCTTCAATTGATCCTTTATATTGCTCAGCCATCATCCAATACCATCTGTAGGTAACTGTATATTAGTGATACCTGGTTTACAATAACTTTGAATAGGTTCAGTGCATGATGTAAAATACGAAATTCTACAATCTCCACAAATCCCTTATACTAGTTTGAGAGTTCAGCAGATTGCATCATCATTGATGCTTACACTATGGTTCATATTTTTAGTCCTTTGCGTTATGCTACTTTTTATTAAATAGTAGTTTGGAATGTAATCAATCATTTACTTGGTCTTTTCCGCAACTAGTGTTATCTCATAATTACAAGGAATCAATTTTTTCACCTGTTAGTGTTTTAATTGAAAGATCTATCTGTTTTCTGAGGGTAGTACCTAGTTTCTTTTCGTTAATTAATCATATTTTTTGAAATGGGGATGCGACTCGTGATTTGTTGTAAATGCATTGAAGTTTTTCTACCTAAAATATACATTGACTGTGTTTTTATCGAAGCATCTTTCAAAACTAAGAAGCAGGGAGTCACAATTAATGTGATCCAGTGTTATGTATCCACTAATGATAACAACGACGATAAAGATCAGTTTCATGAGAGGCTGCAATCGATCAGAACTCAATGAATTCAAGATATCTCTTAACAACGGTTTTGATCAAATATATAGTTTTTTTTTTACTTTTTATTAATTTTTTAGAATATAAAATGATGGATTCATGTTCTGTTAGCTAACCTCCCAGACAATGTTTAGAATAAGATGTGAAAGTGAACAAACAGCCTTAAAAAGAATTTAACAACAGTTTGTACTTTCATATCCGATTAAGTTTGTTTTCGTTAGTTAAGATAAATATGATCTGTATATACATCCAAGTCATCGTGCAGTTAGATCCGGTGGAATAGATTTTTATCCCATTTAATTCATTATAATAGAGACAGTGTAAATTGTAATGACATATAAAGTTTATTAGAAAAACTTGTTTATTTATTGAATTGTATTATTATCATAACTGTTTATTTGTTTACGTTTTATTGTTTAGAAGTGAATACTATTTATATCCCTGATTTCATTAACACACTGTTATCAAGTCTATAAAATATTTGAGAAATTCAGTGATGCATAACTTCTGAGTGATGCGTCAAAACATTGTTTATTCTTTGATTTGACTGTACATTGTACAGATCATCTAGATTTTTATAGTTAAGTAGAAATATTTAGATAAATTATAAATAGTTCGGTTTGAATTTGAAAAAGCAAATCTAATTAAAGAACTGATAAGAATTCAAATGGATAAATAGTATAGACAGTTAAAGGAAAAGGAAAATATTGATAGGTGGCCAACTGTTGGCTATCAATCTTCTATACAATGTGAAGTGATGCATAAACATTTTAATAGTTTAAATTTGTAATTGTCATGAATTCTGTCATGTTTATTTTATGCCAATATACTGATGTTTAGTATAAGAAAGCTAAGTTATCGACTATAAAAATGCACACTTATTTTGATTATGTGTTTATAAGATATTAACTCATCATAAATTCAAAAACAAATACAACTTTTGTGTTATGTTTTATTACTAATTAAAGTGAAGTCTTGTTAGCATTCAGAAAATCCACTCCATTATTCTGTAGCCTTCGTTTTAAAATTGATTTGAACCGTTGTGCACATTTATTGACTGTTATTACTTCCCTAAATAGTTGTGTTCTGGATATATCTTTCCAAGTTCAAAGCATCATGTATAGGCGATGTACATCTATGAGAATGAATCTATTAAGTGTCATTGAAAAGTTTTATCTATTGGTCACCACTTAGTACTTGAATTTCGGAAGCATTTCTGTTAATTACTCAACTATTGTTTAATTAAAATATAGTTACGATAAAACATTTTACCGACTAGTAAATTTCAAGTCGATGCTCTTTTATGGTTACTTTAAATTGGTCAATAAATTACTTGATTTTATTATTTCATCGTTATGATCCTCTTCTCTAATCTTCTAAATGTTATCTAAGTTTTAAATAAGCATTAAAAACTTGAACTATTCAAGTGAGATATAATGGTCAACATAAAAAGCTGTAGCCCAACAATAAATAATAGAACTGTGTTCAAATCTAGAAAATATCCATCACTCAACAGTTTAAATCTAATTTCTTATAAATATTATATATATAATATTATATAAGTTTACAGTGAAACAGACCACAAACAGGCGGTATAAACGGGATTTCAACCTGGTTTTATGTCTCAAGTAATATGCTTGGACTATGAAGTAAATCCACATCTTTATGTTAGAAAAAATCGCATAATATAATTGATTTCAAAATATTGAGGGGTCACTTATACACTATGGAAGACGTAATAATGTTTAATACTAACATTGCAAATGCATTTAATTTTTGTTAGTCTAATTTATTGTAAGTCATCAACTGTATCCAGACAAGAAATAAATGAACGAACAATAACCGTTCAGTTACATGAAATTTAGTTTCCAAAAGAAGTTTCACTTGTAGTTAACCTTATTAATAGCTTTCGATTTTCAAGAGATTTTCAAGCTGGAGTTTCATCCTATATATTTCGTTAACGACTAGAGGATAATGAGTCACGAATGTTCATTACTAACTTTAGTCTAATAAGTATATTCACATGCTATTATCCATGTAGCAGAAACCAGTTTTAACAAGCAAGCAGAAAATCTCAATCCTCAAATATACAAGCCAATATTTATAAGCTGATGAAGAGTCTATTGTAATCCTCATATTATCTTATCCCAGACATTACAAATGTATGTCTTTCTAATACTTGGAGATATATCATCTTATTAATGATGCTAAGCATATAATCCGCTTATTGGTTGAGTGAACTCGATTAATTATCAGTGTACCTACTTACGTCTGTTACCCCAAATGGTACACAGGCCACCGACCAGCATTCTCCAACTCACTCTATCCTAGCCCTTCCTTTTTAGTTCTATCCAATTGTTATTCATTCTTCTCATATCTGTCTCCATTTCTCGACGTAATATGTTCTTCCTCTTTTCCTTTGGCCTTGAGACTTCCATGTGAGGGATTGCCTTGTGACACACTTGGGTGTTTTCCCTAATATGTGTCCTATCCACTTCCAGCACTTCTTCCTGATTTCTTCCTCCACTGGAATCTGATTTGTTCTCTCAATGTAACATT